TCTTAACCCCATGCACATGGGACAGCATATTAATTATGGACAAGATTAGGCTCACTGAACTGTGTATGGCTGCTCAGAAGAAATTCCCACTGAGCTCAATGGGATGTACTCTCAGGAAAGGGCGTAGCCTAAAACCAAGAGTGCAGAACCTGAGACATGTGGAAGGGGGACAGTTCTGGGGTTACCCCCAAAGCCATGTCCCTTCCCCTGGCTCCATCCACCTTTCCCCAATCCTAATTGTTTGGTGGTTTCTTGCTTTTCTGCATGTTTTCTCCCATTCTGAAAGGGAGAAATGTCTCCTCTGATTCAGATGCTGGCAGTAAGAGCTGATTCCTTTCCTATTTTTATTTTTAACCATTTTTGTGCCTCTGCTGCACCCAGCACCCAGCAGTGGAAAGCAACGCCCCAAAGCTTCACCAAAGTAGAATTTGTCTCCCTTCTAATATACAGGTCGGCTCAGAGATGATCTGTATGGAGTTCGATGAGATGTACACCCAGGAAACTGTGTACAGGAAGGTCTGTTAAACCATTGAGCCATCTTGAGAATGCCTGCAGTACAAGTCTCTCTTCGGAATCAGTTTCTGAATGATGACTAACATTTCCTTCTGAATGTTGGCTTTCTTTTTAAACATCTTCATGGATTTCAGAAAACTAGGAGCTGCAGTGAGCACTGAGAAAATCTACTCCAGCTTTTCACATGTCTTGATTTACCGGCACTCTGATTTGCTGCCATGCATGGACTGCTGTGGAAGGTGAAGTCAAAACCCACCTGAAACCAGATAACTCCAAAGCGATGCCACTGGAAGATTTGCAGGAGGGATGCCTGGTGGGGTCCCAGCAGGTGCAGCTGGACCACTCCCCCAAAGATGCTTTGTACTCTGCCACATTTGAAAGGGAACGTTCCGGCAGGTAGACTGGCCTGGAGAGAGCCAGTGTGGTTTGGGGGTTAAGAGCACACGATGGGGATTCAGCCAACCTGGATGTGCAAAAGATTGCAGGCCTAGGATACAGATCTGCCCAGGAGTTATCCCGGTAATCGCACACTGCAAAATAAGTGCAAGGATTTATTTACTGTTCAGAGGGGACATAGTCAGTATCTTTTTCATCCAAAGCATCTCAGATCCAACATGCTCTTCATTAATTGGCAACCTTCCCCCAGATAAGCCCAACTCGACTGGAAAAAGAAGTTACTGGGGAGAGTGATGCTTTGGCCCCTGTACAGCATTTAGGGGAGCTATAGGATTGTTTGGATTCCCGGACCAGAGCTCAGACTCCAGAGCTGGATGCTGCCCTCGGATCTGCGTCTCATCTCACAGCTGGCATGGAAAGAGCCGCACCAGCTGCTTTTCCGGAGTCGTCCTGGTGACTTCGGAGAAGGAGAACATGAGTGGGAGGGGAGGATGCCGGGACCACCAGGATCCCGTGTGTGGGCCTCCTTTGTCCCCGGCTGAAAGCGGCCATCCGGAAGGGGCCGCGAGGCGGAGGCGGCTTCCTTTGAGCTCTTGCTCAACGCTGAGGCTCCTAAACTCCAGCATAACGCAGTGGATTACGGCCTTAATTGGATTGAGTGGACTGAGGAAGTGACCCCGTTGGATTTCCCCCTTAATTGAATTGAGGAAATAACTCACTTAATCACACCCTTAATTGCCACGCAGAGGGAGGTTTTTTGGGGGGTTTCCTGGCATAAGGCAAGGGGGTACTTAACCCCTTCTGCAGCGACTACACGGAGAGGGGAAACCCACCCACCCATTTGCACCCGTGGGCATGCCGGAGCTCTGTGGAGCACGTTGGAGCCGGAGCCGGAGTGGCAAAGCAAAGCTCAGCTCCTGCTGGAAGCAAAGTTCTCCCCCGTCCTGCATGCAGCCCTCTGCCTTCCCTGCCCCTTTCAGGGGGACTTGGACCTCTTTAAGATCTTCAGTCTTTCTTGAACAGCTTGTTTGTTCCCTAAATGCCCCATGGAATTCCTGCACCAAGCCTCTAGTTTTACGGCTCAGTTCTGAGGGTCACTTTCTTACTCGCGCGGTTCTTTCCTTCTAGGCGACTGCAGCTCATATAAATATTAGAGAGGGCAGATTGTACGTCTTTTGTTCTTCTGCAGGTCCTTCTCCAGCAGCCCAGACTTCACAAAGCCTTTAAGAAGGCAGCTTAGGCCACGAGGAGCAAACCCTATCTCAGTGCTATCTGGGTATATTATTTATCTAGTGTCTAATTAATTATCTAACCTACTATCTCACATAACTTTTGTATCATCTGCATTGTCTGTCATGAAAGCAGGTACGGTACTGCTTGCAATCTTCTCCAGGACTTGGCATAATTTTTTGCATTGCTTTTCTATCCCAGCTTTCTTCCTCTTGCGAGGAACCCAGGTTGGCTTGCAACGTTGCCTCCCTTTATTCCTCAAAGCCACAGCCCTGTGAAGCAGGTCAGGCCGGGGGGCAGTGACCGCTCCAAAGCCACCAAGCAGGTTCCTGGCTGAGTGGGGACTGGAACCTTGTACTGGATCCCACGGTTCTAATCACGGTGCCCCAGTATTTACTGCTGAGCTACTTGGATGCATATCTGTTTTCTTCTTTGATTGGACCCACTCTTGGGAAACAGCAGTTCTCGGATGGCTATTTCAGATTTCCCCCCTGTGTATTTATCCGCCAGCCCACAGGCATCACAAGACACATGATCTCATGGTTCACTTCTCTTGCACAAGATGCATTATTCAGTGCTTCTCTTCAGACTCTATTCAGTTTGTCAAAGAGTATCTGCCAAACGTATAATATGGTTTCAAAGTTTGTTTTTGTCCACTTATGGATAATGATTCTCTCAGGGACATACATCATTCATGCAGGAGCTTGTCTAATGTCCCCTTTGCATGATCTTTGTCAGTTTATCAACAAACCTAAGTTGTTCGTCATCTTAGTTATTAATGCCTTTTAAAAACCCACCTCACAGGGTTGTTGTGAAGGTAAAATTAAAAGGAGATGCTTATGCTTATCCCCTTGAGAGCCTTACAGGAAAAAGGCAGGGTATAATTATAATAAATGAATAAATTAAACATAGAAAAGAATTTTTAAATGCTCGGTAAGACTAAGCGGGGAAAGGGGAGGGGGGAAGTCCAGGGAAATGTCATTTGGGCCCATCTTGTACCAAAGCTTTAGAAGTAGCTCTCCACTGCCATCTGGCGGTGATGGCTTGGTGTTGCTGGACAGAGAAGCCACTCTGCCCTGGAGGAGGACCCTTCGTGGACAAAGCTTATTCCTGGGGAGGAGGAAGTGGCACGGGAAGCGCTTTTCTCCCTCACCCATCATACCTGAACCCAAAGGGGTCACCTGCTGAAGCTGCTGGGAGGGAGGCTTGGGACGGATGAAAGGAAAGACACCTCCACCGGGCATCGCTCAGCTGTGGCCTTCATTTCCCGGGGATGCACTGCTGGCCCCCGGCTTGGGTGGCTTAAATGGCGACTGAGCGAAATCATGGAGGGGAAGCCCGTCCATGGCTACTAGTCCTGATGGCTCTAGGCTAACTCCAGTTTAAGAGGCAGGCTGCCCATGGACCCCAGCTGCTGAGGAGGATGGGTGGGAGGGTGCTGCTGCGCTCTAGTCCTGCTTGTGGACACCCTGTGGGGCTCTGGTTGGCCACTGCCTGAACAGAACGCGGGTCAGACAGACCTTGGCCCGATCCAGCCTCAGGGCTCTTCGTGTAACATCCCCCATGTTCTTCACTTCCCCCACCCACACATTATCAGAACTGAGGGAGGCCACCTGATGGAGCTGATGGGTGGGAAATTCACAACAGGTGCAAGGAAGGAGCTCTTCACACGGCACCAGAGTTGTAGTTATGGGATTCACTTCCCAAGAAGTCCGGGCCCAATTCAAGGTGTTGGTGATGACCTATAAAGCCCTAAACGGCTTGGGTCCTGGTTACCTGAAGGAGCGCTTACACCCATATACGCCCACCCGCCCACCGGCCCCCTGAGATCTGCAGGAAAGGCCCTTCTCCGGGAACCCTCCGTGAAAGAAATTAGGAGGGTGGGTACTCGGAGGAGGGCTTTCTCTGCGGTGGCGCCCAATCTATGGAATGCGCTCCCCAGAGAGGTCCGCCTGGCGCCGTCGTTATTTGTTTTTCAGCGCCAGGCGAAGACCTTTTTATTTAAGTGTCATTTTAATTGTTAATATTATTTGCTTATTTTATCTGGCCAGGGTGACTTATTTTATATTGTTAGTTCTTGTATTTTAATTTTATGTTGTGAGCCGCCCCGAGGCTTCGGCGAATGGGGCGGCATAGAAATGTTTTAATAAATAAATAAATAAATAAGTAGTGACGGCGTGGCTTTTAAAGGGGGTTGAACAAATTCATGGAAGAGGAGGCAGCCATCAAAGGCAACAAGCCGTAATAGCTTGCCTGTTTCTGGCACAACAGAAGTCTTCCTCTTCCTCTTCCTCTTCCTCTTCCTCTTGAAGACATTTTAGTCAAGACCAAGCAGCAGAAGATTATGAGGAAGCCACTGCTCTTCTAGCCCACCTCCCCCCGCTTGTGAGGAACCCGAGGCAGCTTCCGCAGCCATTTTATCCTCACAACACCCCCTGTGAGGCAGTTCGTGCTGTCTCTGGGACTGGCCCGAAGCCACCCAGGGATCTTCATGGTCAGGTGGGGACCAGAACCGAGATCCCTGGTCTGATGCCCCCCCCCCCACACACACACTGCACTGGCTCCCCATGTGTCCTCCAGATGCTGGGGGACGCGGCCAGGTGGGCCCTCCTTCACTCAAGCCCTCTGTGTGAGCTTGCCAGGGTGCGCGCAGAGTGCGTGCCAGGTCAGATCGGCCGCTGGTCCAAAGGCGTGGGATGACGTCCCCTCCTCCCGGGAGACGTGCGTCCTGTCCCGTCCCGTGCCGAGCCGAGCAGGGGCTGGCTGCAGGAGCACTGTTTGCATAGGAGCGTTTGGGCAGCTCTGGTGGAAGCGGCACCGGGTCGTCGACCTCCGCTGCCTTTCTCCGCCCCCGGTGCTCCTGCGGCAGGGCTTCTCCAGGCATCCTCCTCGCCCAGCTCTCAGTTGCCACACCGTCCGACCGTGGAGCAGCCAGGCATTCCCCAGCTCGCCAGGTAAGGGATCTGCAGGCCTGGATTCGGGCCAGCTAGCCGGGAAAAGGGAGTGCCGCGTATTCCGGGAGACCGTGTCAGCCGGGCAATGGGCTTTGTTTGCTCAGCTTGTCAAACAGGCAGTTCCGGAAAGGGGCAGACCCCTGGCATGGAGCGCGGGCCTGATGGGGGACACGGGCAGGCTGAGGCAAGAGAGCTAAAGGGCGCGCATGAGTGCCAGCACAAGCCAGCATGCGCAGAGCGGTGGGTATGTGTGAAAGTCACCACCTGCGGGTTTTCCTGCCCTACCCAGAGACATGAGGGATTGGGAGTGGGACTTTTATGGAGGTGTTTTTGAGAGAGGGAGAGCCAGTGCGACACAGTGTTGGCCTGGGCTTGGGAGATCCGAGTTCGAGTCCCCACTCAGCCGTGCAGCCAGTCACTGCGTGGCTTTGGGCCAGTCACTGCTTCTCAGCCTAGCCTACCTCACAGGGTGGGTGTTGTGAGGACAGGATGGAGTGGAGACGCTTGTTAGCCTCCTTGTGTTCTTCAATGTAGCAACGATAGTGATTTATTCTAATGGATTATGAAATAATATTCCAAGTAGTTTGCACCAGGGCAACAACAATTTATCAAACTGCAAGAGAAGCTTCTGGGGTCTCAAAGTCTCTCTTGTCTCCTATCAGGGGTGATTCTGGATCCATCTCATCTCTAGTGCAGGTGTCAAGAGAGGACTGTACGATGACAGACAGGACACCCGTCCACATTCTGTAGCCACCTCATAAGCAAGGTAAGCAAGCAAGCACAAGAACCCTGGAGACAACCGTGGGAGCTTCTCTGAACTTTCTTCTGCTTCAAACTTCTTTTCAAAGCAATTTCTCTGCTAGTAAATTGAACGAAAGAGGTAGAAAATACTGTGGAATTTGGCACTTGCTTGCTTGCTAGTTACAAAGTTGTGTCCGACCCTTTGTGACCCCATGGGCAACATTCCTCCAGGCCCTCCTGTCCTCCACCATCCCCTGGAGTCCACCTAAACTCACACCAACTGCCTCAGTGACTCCATCCAGCCACCTCATCCTCTGCTGTCCCCGTCTTCTTTTGCCCTCAATTGTTCCCAACATTAGGCTCTTCTCCAGGGAGTCCTTCCTTCTCATTAGGTGGCCAAAGTATCTGAGTTTCATCTTCAGGATCTGGCCTTCTAAAGAGCAGTCAGGGTTGATCTCCTCTAGGACTGACTGGTTTGATATCCTTGCAGTCCAAGGGACTCGCAGGAGTCTCCTCCAGCGCCACAATTCAGAGGCCTCAATCCTTCCGCAATTTGGCACTGCTCTAGTGGAAATACCTATCTGAAAGGTTAGTTACTGGAGGTAAAAGCTTAAGGCAAAAACATGCAGGGATTTTGACCTGACCACTTGCTTTTGGATCTGTGCATCACGGAAATCTGGCCCCTGCGAGCTGTCCTGAAATTGAATTCAGACCACAGGCTGAAAGAGGTTTGACACCCCAATCTAGTTAGTCAGGGCAGCATCCAGGAGTGACTCTGGAGTGGAACTGCCATCACTTCCTGAAGCATCTAAGCTTCAGCCAGACCTTCTCCGAGTCCTTTAGTTGATACCATCAGGATTGGTTCAGTCTGACTCAGCTGGGATGCTTCGTTTGCCACAAATGACCCCCAAATCCTGCATTTGACAGAGGCGTCAAAGTGGGATGCAATTGGGACCCAGAGAAGCTCCTTTCTCGTAAAGTGCTGGAGGGGAGGCACCAGTTTTGAAATCTCATCCCCCCACCATGCTTTTATTTCTGCAGTATTGCCAACAACTAGTGCAAGAATCGCAAGAGCCGAGATTCTTTGGGCTATCTCAAAATAAAGTACTTTGCAGGACCGAAGGACACAAGCATTGCAAAGCCTTAGCTGCTAGCGGCAAGCAAACCTACAGTTCCTTCACGGATTTAAGCTTTGCTTTGCGCACCTCCACGGCCAGGCATAGGAAAGGCCTCTGCAACCTGTGAGTGGTCAACCGAGGGCCACCTATCACCAAACACCTGGCAGCTTGCATCCCCACGCCTCAAATCTTTGGGGATTTCCTGAAGGGAGATGGATCATATAGGAATGGACCGTGCCATGGATTATGCAGCCTGGCAGGCTTCTTGCCGCCTGAGTGCCGGACTCGGGTTCAGTGACACCTGGGGCTGGCTGCATTCGGGTGGTGGGGAAAACTCCACATGAGCAGGGAGAGGGAAGTCAACGTGGGCCTCTCGGGGGAACATTAGGTAGCCAGCTGTGGGCTTCAGGAAGCCAGATTTTGCCCTCTGGTCTCGGGCCCAACAACCGTTTCCCAGTCTGAGTTACGAAGCTGTCGCTCTCGCAATGGGGTCGTAACTTGCTTCTTAACACCATCATGGCTCTTTGGGGGACGTAGTTGTCGAGATTTGAGGAAGGTGCACCGGCCCGGGAGAGACCGGGAGGAACGAGGTTCCTGGAGGAGGTGCCTGCGCATCTCCAGCGGGGCATCTCAAGGTGCTTTCGCCTCCCGCCTCCCTCTAGGCCTTTTGCAACAGGCAGTTCCGAGCTGGAGGAGAGCGGCCCTAGCCTGGCCTCGGGGAAGACACAAGCAAGCAGCTCCGTCCCAGGCACGGGGATTTCGGGGAACCGGGGAGCAGGTGCAGCAGCCCCGGTGGCCACCACGCCCCTTCGCATAGCCAGGGCAAGCCGGCGCAGGCCGACGCAGCGTTGTCCCGGCGCCTGCCTCGTCCACCAGCCGGAGCCAAGGAGGAAACGTCTGGCCACAGGAAGCCCTCGCGGAGGCTCGAGTGCCTTGGCCCAAAGGTCAGCAGCAGCAGCAACACAACAGGAAGCCGGCAGCGCTGGTGTGGGGGACGGCGGAGGACGCAGGGAGCCGTGCCGAGCCCGCAGGTCCCCTCGGCCCGCGTCCCTCTCGGAGCACCCCGGGTCCCGCCTCAGCAGCACGCCAGCCGCTTCCCATGGAAGCCCACCGGGAGCCTGAGAGGAGCAGCTGCTGTCTCCCAGCAGGAAAATGCGGTGGTGATCCGAGGGCCAGCTGGGCATGGAGCTGAACCGTGAGTGCGGCTCGTGGAGGGAGGCCCGCCCACATGCCTGCAGGCACGCAGGGGAGACGCGGGCAGGGCGCCCAGGTTTTCAAGGGGCGGGCTGGTTTGGGGGCCAGTCACTCCCCGGTCACCTGGAAGTGCCTCCCCGAGGCCCAGAGGTGTGTGGGATGCTGCGCGGTGGCCGAGAGAGGCACAGGCACGCTGCAGATGGGCTGGAGCAAGCCGTCTGGCTTTGGTGCACGGAGGCGGAAAACTGCCCGGCACGGGTCACGTCTCGTCTGGGAATTCCCGAGAGGGCACAGCACGGGCCAGGCACACGGGCCGGCACTGAAGCCCAGGGTCTGCTTCCAGTCCAGACCCCGCGTGGGCTTTTGGAAAGGGGACTGGCAACGACGTCACCCCAGACTGGAATGAAGCCACGGCTACTACCGAAGTTTGAAACCAGTTTCAGTTTCTAATTTGGATGTCCCTGACGGAGAGACAACAGCATGTTCAGGGTGCGATGTGCCATGTGCTGAACATCCATAGATGCTTTAGGCTGCAATCCTATAGGCACCTCCCTGGGAATCAGTCCCATCGAAGTCAGTGGGGCAACTTGTGAGCCGGCATGTACAGAGTGCCTCATGAGCAAAGCAGCAGCCTTCTCTTCAGTGCTGTTCTCAGTTAATGGCACAGCAGAATTTTGTTCCCACAACAAGAATTCCCCGGCCGAAGTCCCCCTTCCCCGACCAGCAGCCTTTGGGCACTGTTATGGTTTCTCAGTGCTGACCAAGTGCACTTTGCACATGCTCTGAAGCACTTTTTCCTAATGGAACAAAAAAAAAAAGTCTTGGGGAAAGAATAAGAAGTCGCATACTGCAGAGTAACCTACTCTGAAAAATAGTTTACTATTCCACAAGTTCCAGGACTAAACATTTTAAATGTTTCTGGAGGTGCTGCCTCCCCTACCTCCTTGGGGTTTATCTGCTGACTGGGCTGATGGAAGTTGTAGTCCAGTCCATGCAGAGGGCACCAAGTTGGGGGAAGGCTGCGCTTGAGCCAGGTTAAAACAAAACTTGTCCTTAAATGGGTGTTTGCACTCAGCTTGTCATTAGATTAAGCTGGGAGGTTAGGTGTGTGGGTGGGTGGGTGTGTGTGTGTGTGTGTGTGGGGGGGGCAACAATCACCAGAATGGGACTGGGGATTTAACCCCCCCCCCACTGCAGCACCTAGGAACCTCTAAGGAAGGGGGCGTTTTTAGGGTGGGGAGGACAAGGAAATCCCCTGTTGGTACCTTGAGAATGTAAGAAGGACTGCACCAAACCAGATCTAGGACTCATGGACTGGAAAATAAGGTTGGAAAATCCACAAGCAGGACAAGAGCCCAGGTGCCGGGAGTGCATTGCAGGAGGTCAAGAGTTAAATTCGCCCACCTGCCTGCCCTGCAAGGATCCTGATAATTTCCGGGGCCCTTCCCTCTCTGCCTCACCGGATGCTGCCTGCAATTTTATTCTTTCAAGGCGCAGCTGCACCTGGCCACCGGTCGGAGGGGCTCCCAGCTGCCTCCTGAAGGGGGAAGGGGTGGCAAACTTGGGGCTCCCCCGCCTGTCCCTTGGTCTCCCCTGCTCCAGGTCTGCTGCTTCTCACTCTGCTCCTGCTCCACATGAAACAGTCCCGGACGATTCCCACGCGGATGCTGTGCGACAGGCGGGTGATCCAGAAATACATCAGCGAAGCCGTGGAAATGGCGGAACAGGTGGTAAGCGGCTTCGGCGCGCTTTGTCTGAGTAGTTCGGGCTGGCTTGACTCTCTGGACGGATGCGCCAGCTCCTGCCTGGCCGCAAAGCTCAGTGGCTGGCCTTGGGACTGTTGTGAAGCGAGCGGGAGCACGATTGAGGAGGCCGATGTGCTTCGTCTCATGCCCCGATCTCTGCCGGAACACCCTCCGGCTACACCTCATCCAACACAGGGCTGTCCCGACTCGCCTTCCCCAGCCTGCCCGGTGTACAGTCCTCCCCAGCCAGCACAGGGAAGGCTGGCCTAAGCTTTTTGTCATGGAGCAGAATTGTCTGCTGGCTGGGGATGATGGGAGTCAAAGTCCAACACATCTAGCAGGCTGGTGGCGATAGTACAGTGCCCTGTTTTGAAGAGCGTCCAGCTACCTGGGGAAGGGCCTTCTCTGTGGTGGTGACCCAGGTTTGGAACCCGTTTCCCAGAGAGGTGGGCCTGGTGCTGACACTTCACTCATACTGGCACCAGGCCAAACCCTTTTTATTCTCCCTGCATGTTAAGTCTCAACGATGATGTTAACCTTGGGTTTTATTGCCTTATATTTCATTGTATGCTGCCACTTGGTTTGGCTTTGTATCTGAGATGGGATACAAAGGACGTGATAAAAATAAATAATCAATCAATAAGTATATTAAAAATGCAGCCTTCTCCCAGCAAGCAGCAGCTGGTGACCTCTCCCAATTCAGTTGTCACGGCACGCCTGCGGCTCCATTGGCTACCTGGCCACCGAACCCCACAGGGCTGTCCGGCGAGCTGAGCTCGAGGAGAAGTCCTTTGGCCTGCTGGAATGCAGCCGCCCAGTTTTCCCTAGGAATCCGAGCTGCCGTGCCACCCCCACCCCCCGCTATTTAAACAGCCAGGGTGAAGGAAGAACCCCATCAAAGGACATCAAGCAAAAGCAGCTTGCATGTCTTCCCCATGTGCCACGTTGGCCAGGAAGGATGAGACTTGCAGTCCAACGCACCTGGATGGCACCGATGAGGGAGGGCTGATCTGTAGGTGCATCACAGGGGAAGCTTCTACTCAGTGTCTGTCGCAGGGCCAGCTTAGGGCCTGAGGAAGCCCCTGGCCACGTGCCGGCTGGGGCCGCCTCCAGTTTTGTGGCTGGGTCCGATGGGCCAGTTGCATTTCCCAGGATGCCTTGGAGCAGCGCTGCATCAAGAGCATTGTGTGAATTTAAAATAGCAGCTCTCGCACTTAGCAGCTGTGGGAGCTGACCAGCCAGGCTGGGCCGGACTTGCTTTCACGCATAACCAGAAAAGTTGTGCAGCAGAGTCTGTTCTTCCCCCGGCTGAGAATGTGCAAAGAGCTGTGTGTGGGGGGGGGTGTTCCAGCAGGGATCAGTGGGGGCGTCCCTTTCCTCCTCTCCTCCAACAAAGAGGGCATTCCTGAAAGGGGTGCTCGATGCCCATTTTCCCAGTGTGCTAAGCTGCCAGTGCTGCATAGTCATCCGAACGCCAGACTACAGCTCGGGAGTTCTGCTCCATGGTGCTCTTTGGCTGCAGTCTCCCCTGAACGGAGGGCTTTCTTCTGTGTAACATGCACAGGACTGGGCCCTCAATCTGTTTGCCCCCAGGTGGCCACCAGATGTTTCAGCTTTCACAGAAGTGGGTCGCTTTGCCTCTCATTCCAGAGAGGGAGCCGCTGAGGCACTCATACGGACGGTTGCATTGACCCGTCAGTTTAGGCTGCCTGGCAGAGGCTACACCCAACCCGCCCTCCCTGCTTCTCCCCTGCCCTCTGTCCTCTCTCTGCAGAGCCACTGCGAGGCGCTTCCCTTGCTCCGGCAGCCCGTGCTCCTAGCCCTGGTGGGAGTCAACCTCGGAGACTGGAGGCAGAAGACAGTGAGTTTGTAAGGATGGCGAGCCCAGCAGCCGGAGGGTTGGGCCCGGGCGTGTTGGCGGGGCTCCGCACCTCCCCCTGCTCGGCCCACGTGTGATTGGAATCGTCACTGAACACGGCTGTTGAAAGGCGGCCGATTGTGTTTAGTGTGGCCGGGTTCAGACCAGTGATGGGTGAGAGATCCAGGTTGGGGGTCGGATTTTCTCAGCTCAGCTTCTAGGACTTCAACCCTTTCTCTCTGCTGTAAGTCCCACTTATGCTGAGTGTTTGCATGTGTATCTAGCACATGGGTCCTCAAACTACGGCCCGTGGGCTGGATCTGGCCCGCCATAGCTCGCCACGCATGTGCACGCATGTGGCAAGGTGCCAGTTTGCTCGCAAGGAGATCGTTTTGGACTCGCTCGGAGAAAGGCTCTCCTGGTGAGCAAGCCAGCGCCTTGCCAGAAGATCCTTTTCTCTGACCAAGTCCAAAATGATCTCCTTGTGAGCAAGCTGGCCCCAGGAGATCTTTCTGGATTCATTGGGAGAAAATTATCTCTGCGCATGCATGCCCCTGCCTTTCGTGTGCATGCGCTTCCCACCCCGCGCCCCCTGCCCACACCACCTTGGCGGCTCACGCCCATCGCTGGCACCTTTCAACTGGCCCCCTATACAAAAAGTTTGAGGACCCCTGATCTAGCAGGAAGTGACTCTAACACTTGTGTTTTACATTGCACATATATAACTAGCAAGAGTGCTTTGCACATGTGCACACACACACGCACACACACTCTGCCTGTGTGCCACATGCTTGTTGGATTTGCAGGACATCTTGGCTAGCACCTAGTGACCAGAGGGAAATGCTCACGCTGTAAATGGGACCTTTATCGCGCTTTATCGTGGCAGTGCCTGCATGCACGCACGCACCTGTGGGTGCCACAAGTGGGTGATGAAAGAACGTCTCTGTGCAAATGCTAGGTGCACAAGGGAGCTAGGTGCACACCCCCCCAAAGCGACGGCGGGGTCTGTGCATGGGGGTCGTGTACTCAGCAGCAGAGCAATGCAGTGCAGAGCGGCTTGTCTTGTTCTGGAGCGTCTGCAGACGTGGCTCAGCTCAGCTCGCTTCCTAGGCCAAGACCCAGAAGTCCGGCAAGCACCAGAGAGCTGGATTCTGGGCGGATCTTTGCATCACTAGTTCAGACAATGCAATAATCCACATTTGACCGAAAGCTTGAACTCAGCTCGTACTCAAACCTTGAATGTGGTTTCCCGTGTTGTCTGAAGCTGGCCACCGCCAGTGACTAATCCAGAGAGAGGCATTTCAGCCATTTAGAATGGGGGAAAAACTGCACAAAGACTAGAGAATTGCTAAGCGGCAGCAGGGATGGGAAAGCTGGCTATCCTGAAACGCAAGAGGGTTGAATTTGGCCCCCAGGCTCTGGGCCCTGAGTATAAAGAATACTGAAGTTATAAATGGCTGGCTCTTTTTCTTTCAGACTCAGGCCAAAGTGCAGGAGATACTGCGTGACCTGGGAACGCTGGTGGACAGTGCAGCCGCCGCCCAACGAGAGCTGGGGCAGGGATGCGTCTCTCTGCTTCTGCAGCGGCTTTACGAGAAAGCCAGCACCTTTGCTCTGCACCTACAAAGCTTTGGGGGGCAGGTGAGGGACGGTGGGGCTTCTGGCACTGCTTTGGGATGGAGGACGCTACCCACCCACCCCCACAGCCCATCAAGACAGGCAGGCCTCTGCTTGCTACCTTGCTCAGCACGTGGCCAGAAGGATTATGCAGATACACAGCTTCCTGCCCACCTTTCTGCATGTCTGCAAAGACCTAACTTCCGCCGCTTGGAGGTTTCCCAGAAGGCCACACTCCTTTCCTCCAATACTGATGGGTGGGCAGTTTCCCCTATTTTCCCAATTCCAAAAGGCTGAAAGGCCTCCCCAATACTTAGCTACCGGGAGGAAGAACTTAAAAGCTGTGCCATACTGGAATTTCTCCATACTTTTGGAAAATGTTGGAATGTGGTCCAAGAGCTTTCCAAAACTGAATTTGGCCTTGGACTCAAAGGTGTTCCTTTTTGGCACTGCAAACGGGGTCCGGAAACAGTTGATAGTGAAACTGACAAGGTGAGTTGGTTCTATGGCCTAGAAAAGAGTTTTCCAGGAATTTGCAGAGGAAGCCAAGATTTTCTTCGAAATAGTTGTGTGTGGCCTCAGCCTGGCGCCACTTCAGACCCCCCCCCCCCCCCGACATCTCTCGAGTCCTCACTTAGGGATTGGCAGTGGATTTCAGGCCTCGCAGGTACGCAGCCTTGTGTCTTCTCTCACTCTAGGAACAGGTTGCAAACGGGCCGCTGGAGGAAGCGCCCCAATTAATTCCAGAGAGAAACCTTCGGACCATCTTTGAGACCTACAAACAACTTGTCCGAGGAAAACTGCACCTCCTCTTTGCTGACTTGCAGAGCGACTCTTGCGGTGAAGATCGGAGTTGGCCTGGCGCTCCCCGCCCAGCTCAGCGTCCTTCCAGCTTGGCCATTTCGTGGGGGCAGTGAAAGACCTGGTGGGCTGCTTGCCCCAGGAAGGGCCGAAGGGGATGGCGGGCCCCTGGCAGCCGGCTGTGGAAGGGCAGGGCGATGGAACCCTTGGAGCGGGAGGCATGTGCTCAGAACACCGGAGCAGAAAGAGGCCGTGTTCCGCCTTCAGCGAGGCCTGAGCCTTCCTTGCTGAAATTTAAGCTTGCTTTAGCTTCCTGCAAAAAACACACAAACAGAAATGGGTTCTGGAGCTGAGCAAGCCTGGCGACGCTCTCAGCTGCTCGGTGTCTTGCTTGGCTGGCGTCTGTCTGATGGTTTAGCAGCTTCAATGCACTCAGTGCAAACAGTGGAGGAAATGTGCACTGTCAGCACTCTGGTTACAGACGTTAGAACTTTTATTTCCCGCAGGCCACGTTGGATTCTACTCTGCATCACTCTGCGAGCGAGGAAGCAGAAGGGGCTGATTGCACCCACCAGCCGCCGAATCACGAAGAGCCACCAAGGGGAAATTCTGGGCCTGGGCAGGGATCATACCCGTCAACCCCTTCATTTTCTGTAGGGGTCGCAAGCTGCAACTATTTGAACGTAACACCCGAGCGGAAGCATTTTTCAATGACCTGACCGCATGGGGGCCGTGCCATGCCAATCTTTCACTGCAGAGCCCCTGCGAATTCCAGCCGCACCCGCCTGGAGGTGGAAGCAACTTTGCTGAACCGACTCTAAAAGACACGCTTGAGTATGGGAATGGCCTTGCGAGCCAAGCAGCAAAATCACTGTTTTCAACCCATTCTTTCTGTACCAAACGAATCTGCCTCGAGTGCAGTTGTGGTCCCACGTCATGACATCTTGCCCGAGGATGTGGCAGGCCTGGCCTGGAGCTGGCAGTCAGCCAGAATGAATGGATTGCACAGCCGTGGCAGGAAGCATCCGGAGGCAAAGTAAACTCCCTCCCCTCTTGCGGCGTAGTTACATCCGCTTTCCTGCGAGGGACAGCAAAAGACCGCTGGCTCCACTTGTGGCGAGGCATCGGCCCGAGGCCGCTCTCGGTGTGTCGCGAGACTGGACTGGCCCTGGCTGCTGCAGGCCTCGAGCGGGAGAAAGCGAAGGAAGGCTTTCTGCCTATCATTTACTGCAATAAAGAACTGCGTATTTTGTCTGCCTCCCATTGCATTTTTGGGATGAGAGCAAAACAGGACAGAGAAATTGTGCACACGCCACAGCCCTCCTGTGAAAGCATCGCGGGGCTTCTCTGCTCTTGCGATTGGAAGGCGATTATGCTGCACTGAGGGCATGCAGTGATTCTGTGCACGTACAGAAGGCTTCTCGAGCTGAGGGCTACATCCTCTTGGGCACCACCTTTGGTGGACTGCCTGGCAGCAGCGGGCAAGGCCAAATGCGGAACAGGAAAGCCAGAAAGGCTGTGAGGAAGGTGCCACCATTTCTTCCATCTCCAGCTCACCACAACAGGCCCCTCTCTGGGTGGCCAGAGCTCTGTCAAAGCCCCGTTGGTTTAATGGGTTTAATGGAGGGGTTGTTTAACTCTCAAATAACCCCCAGTAGCCAGGTTTGCATGACTCAGTGCAATCCCCAACCAGCTGTCACCCCTGGGCTGTCCTTAAGTATACAGACAGACATGTGGGTTCTTTCACTAGGTCAGAGGTCCAAAAACTCCATCCGTTTGTCCAGAGCTGCAAAGGCATTTGATATACACGGGACAGAAAGTTAACAACCTAGGAATCGGCCGAACACCCAACAGTTTCCTTTGTCACTTGGCGGCCAAATCATGGCTGGGAAATGCAGTAACTCAGGGGTTAATCAAACCAGTGGGTTATCGTTCTGTGCAAAGCAGGGCCTTGCCTCGCACTTTTGCCCTCAGGTGTGTCCACTCGTGATCCTTTTGCCCAGGAGAGCCAAAACTCCTCCCGTTTGCGATGAAACTGGGCAAGGTGGTGGTGGGGTTTGCAGTGGATGAAGAGAACATCCATCTCCTGAAGAAAACATGTTAGAAATAGTCAAATCTCATCTATTTGCACTGATAAGGGGTGTGCATGGATATTTCAATTCAGTCTGAAAAATGTGCATTCTTAGTGGCACCATCTTCAAGCCACTTAATCCCTGTGCCACTGCATTTCCAGTGTAGGATGCAAGAGATTATTCTAGGTGGAAGTACAGCCAAATACGAAAAGCTAGACTTTAATGAACGTAATAAACCAAAATTGAATGGAGAGTGTATGCCAAGGCCAGAGGGCAAAGAAACCAGTGGCCTTCCAGATGTTGCTGATCTACCATTCCCATCAGGCCCAGCCAGTACGGCCAACATTCATGGATGATGGGAACTGCACTCTAGCACAGCCTCAGGGATACCGGTCCTTCACCCCTGCCCTGTGTCATTGCCGAGAATGGCAAAGGAAGCATCTCTTCCAGACCTGAAACAGCAACACTGGTTCTCAGGGAACCAGGGATAGCTAACCAGATAGTCAAGAGTCCAACACTCAGTTCCTTCAACGTTGGCAGGAGATGCCCTGGGTGCCTGCTAGTTCACGGCACTGATGCATTTCAATGCTCCTCACCCGTGCCTGCAAGTCTGCTAGTGACCGGGTGGGGGCACATGGAGGGAGCGGGGGACCCGCCAGAGCTGCCGGCAATCCTCCACTCGGGCGGGGGGGCAGCCCCCCACTGAGTCCAAGCCACAACCACAGCCTCCAGCCATGCAAGGCCCCTGGGAGGCTAGAAGGCCAGCTTCTTCATGAGAAGGTAGACTCGGGAATCCACTTCGAAGCCATGCAGGTTGTTTGCGTCTCCCTGGAGCCTCATGAGCAAGCCACCGTAGGACACATAGGCAGAGCTGCGGGAAGGGCAGAGAAGGGTGAGAGAGGACAAGAGCCTTTCGCATCGGTGTGGGCAGAAGCTCCCCACAAGGCCCAGTGTGTGATGCCGCCGTGGGCCCTCAATCCGGCTTATTCCAGCCTTCCTCCTTATTTATTTACACACACATCCATCCATCCATCCATCCATCCATCCATCCATCCATCCATCCATCCATCCACTGGTGTCTCGGAACGGTTTACAACAAGCAACAGACAAAATGGCAAATAAAATGGCACAGCAACCAGTAATTCGATCATATAAAACTACATTAAAACCGATCAAACATTACAATAACGGGAACATAAAAAGGTTTTCGCCTGGCGCCAAAAAGAAAGAAGTGTTGATGCCTGGCAAATCTCTCTGGGGAGCATATTCCACAATCGGGGGGCCACCGCAGAGAAGGCCCTCCTCCAGGGAACCACCCTGCTAATCTCTTTCAAAGAAGGCTTGGGAAGAAGGAAGGCTCCCTACAAAGGTCCCAGGCTTCAGCTCCCATCAATCCTTGTCGGCATGCTGAGAGTCTAAAGGATCTGGAGGACACCTGGCTGGGGACGGCTGGCTGGCTTTCACTGCAGGGGTTGCCTGGGAATGGACCTTCTTGGTGAAAAGCCAGCACTCTTGCCATGCCCAAGAGACACGGAGAGCAGAGGACGTTCAGCAAGGCATATCTCAGGGAGGCGAGGCATACACTTTCCCCACATCCTTGCAGCCAAGGCCTCTACCCACATTTCCCGCAGAAAATTAACTAGCGGGCGAGAAGAAGTAGGTGACCGTCTGAGCAGGGGAAAGGCATCCTGCTTCCACGCTCAGCCTTCAGCAGAGGTGCAGGATCTGAAGCTGGGTGCCCATCCTCTCTATTATTTTGCACTGTATTTATCCACTACAGTTATAGCCTGCTTTTTCCTCCTGCAAGGAACCCAGGTGGCTTCTGTGCTCCCCCTCCGATTTTATCCTCACCACAACCCTGTGAAGTGGGTTAGGCTGAGAGCTGGTGACCGGCCCAAAGCCACTCAGGTGGCCACATGGCCAAGTGGGAACAGAACTTGGCTTACACAGCCTCTTCAAGTAGCTACAACAGGCTTGTGGCTGCCCGAATTTTACCCACTGCTCCTACTGGCAACAGTTCTTGCAGGAATAAGCCAGGGGAAAAGTTTGAGTGAGTTGATAATCAAACATTTTAGTATTTTACACAGGGGTGGGCGACTTACCTCTACTACTAGGTATAACAGCTAGGGAGTTGCAGGGAATAGCATCTGGAGCAGCCAATCTCTGATATAGGGAAAATCTTACCACCACCTTCCAGATCCCCTCATGTTATGCCTTTCAGTTACAGCCTCTCCGTAAGGCAAGCTGTTCCACTATCAGAAAGCCTGTTGCATGTAGCGTTAAATACCGCCCTGTTTTTGACCAGCCCTTTTTGAGCTATGCTGATCAGCTGAAACCAGGGATCCCAGAAAGAACGGGACACTTACAGGCGTGTGGCAGCTTCCGTGGATGTCTCATCTCCTTCTATCCTGTACACCTTCCCATACATCACGTACTCAAACTGGTCAGCCCTGCGGAGGGAAAAGATAGCTCAGGCATGTCTCTGAGGCTGTCTGTGATCACAGAAGCTCAACTCTGCAGAGGTTAGTCTCAAGACAACTTTCACACTTTTAAATACTCCACGAGGATGGATATTTAAAGAGGGCAACAATCGCACAAGCTAACTGAGGTTTCTTCTGCTAGACAGCCACTTGGGAATCAAGGGTGCTGCAGCCCACAAGATCTGGAGAGAACCGGGCATCCTCCATGGACTCCTTGCCATTAACTGCGACTGAGCCTCCTCCTCCTCAGCATGGCTCCCATGGGCTTGTGAGCAGATCAGCAACAGCTTCTGCTGCATCTGCTTCTCGACAGCACTGAGGTTTCGGGCAAGCGTGGGCCAGGCGGAGAGCAGGAGCAACTCCAGGAGGTGCGGTCAGCAGCAGATGCCGACTGGTGTGGATCCTGGGCAGGCGTCCCCCCATGCCTGAGACACTGGCCTTGGGTGAGCATCCTAGCTGCACACACACCACACAAAGCGAGTGGTCAATCCCTCTTTGCAGAAGCTGGAGAGGAACACGTTGCTGGAGCAGATCTAACTTGCCATTACCTGGATGGTCGATCGTCAGTGGGGTTATATTCCCCATCATCCAAGGTCCCATCTTCATACAAGGTGCTGGCAATCACTAGGCGGAATTTGTCTCCTGGAATGTGAGAGAGAAATAACAGTAAGGTGAGTCTTCACTAAGCTGGCCGGCGGCCATCAAAGGCCCAAGCCACCGGTCAGGGATGGGCACAGCTAGAAAACCAAAACCAACACTAGAGTTACACGTAGAAGAACAAATGCACGACACTGTGATTTGGAAAGACATATGGGGAAGGTAGCAACTGACTTTGAGAAGCAGTGCAAAGAGGCAATCAGGTGAAAACTGGAGCCAAGCAAATCTTGTGGCTCAACTGGACAATGCATATGCTCGGAGGAGAGCCTTCTCTGTGGTGGCGCCCCGACTATGGAATGCGCTCCCTGGAGAAGTCCGCCTGGCACTGTCATTATATGCCTTTTGGTGCCAGGTCAAGACCTTTTTATTTAACCAATATTTTAAAGTTAATTAATATTAATAGTATATTTTTATTTAATTCATTTTAACCATGTTATTTTATACTCATTCGTGGTGCAGCCAATTTGGTTAGGACTGGTGGGGTTTTAATGTTTGTAAACCACCCAGAGAGTCCTCTGGGCTATTGGGGTGGTATATAAATTCAATCAATCAATTAATCTAGTTATGGAGACTGGTATATTAGAATGATATTCAGAGCTTATTAAGGATTGCCCATGATCATTCTGCATGAAACTCTGCTTTGAGAGCTCACTTTTTAATTCCCTGTGCATTTTAAATTCAGAAAATTGGGATGTTTTACCATCAGAAGTTTGACACGCTCCTATTTAGTAAAGTTGAGTATTTTAGTTGGTGGTTTCAAATTGTAATTTCTGATCAAAAATAGTCATGTTCCATTAAGTTTACCAAAGTCTTTAAAGTGACTAGAGCCAGTCTGTTGGCCTATTTTTAAAGCAGAAGAATGGTGTGCAGATTAATTTCAGCAAAGACAACAAAGAAACCTGAAGGACTAACACATTTTTGTAGTGGAAACCTTTGTGGGCCAGAGCTCACTTTGCAAGAGCCTTGATGGGGTTACTTTATTATTATTATTATTATTATTATTATAACATTTCTATGCCGCCCCTTGCCGAAGCCTTGGGGTGGCTTACAACACAATAAAATACATTGAAATACAATAGAAAGTGGTTAAGTGGTTAAGCAGCTTATTCTTTTCTTATGTCACATGAAGTTATGATAAAATTTGCAGAACAGGCAAAGAAATTAGCATCCAAAACTGAACTACTTTTCTTTTTTTTAAAAAAAGCGGTAATACCAACAGTTTAGTGTTCAGTAAATAATTCCAATAGGAACAACTGGAGGTCAGCCAATTAGGATGTTTTCAGGTGCCCTGAGATACTGTGGTATTTGTACAAGTTAATGTCTTCCTCACAGAGAAAAACAAAATCTGTATGTTGCCAATTAGGCAGTTGAAGTCTGAAGAAAAATCTGAACAGCATTTTAAAAAGAGAGGTAGGAACTGATACAACAAAATCCTCAAAGACCACTTACCAAGATCAACTGGATAGATCTGTACATTCACATCAAGAATCAAATCCATCTTGAAAGACTCGCTCTCACAATGCAGCCGAGAAACTGAAGGAGACAAATTGCTATTATTAGGGGTCGGGTGTCATTTATTGGAAAATAGTGAGAGAAAGCAAATCCCTTTCCTGCTAGAATGCTAAGCCACTCTAGAGGCAGGAATGTGGAACCAGAGAAAATAATGAAGTTTGATTTAAATGGGGGGTATTAATTCAATCCCTGGCTCAGAGTAAAATGGAAAGGAGAACTAGTTAAGCCGCCTTGGGTTCTTGGAGAGAGGAAGGCAAGAGTTTATATTCTTTTCGGCACCAGGTTAAAACCTTTTTATTTAATTGCTATTTTAAAAATTAATATTTTATCGTTAACAGTCGCTTTTTTGTTTTTGTATAATTTTATGGAATTTGTTATTGTTTTATTGTTTTAATTGTACGTTTGTGAGCCGTCCCGAGAGGCCGAGGCATGTGGTGACGGCATATAAAAGTTTTAAATAAAATAAATATAAATAAATATAGCAAGCGGGCGGGGGCACCGGCGAGGAGGGGGGAGGAAGGCGCAGAAGGAGGGTTTCCCTCTTCCTCACCCCTGTCGAATTTCTTGCCCTCGGGGTCGATGTCCTTCACGTCGAAAATATCCTCGAACAGAATGCCTGCCATGGCAGGGCAAGAACAGCGGGCGCGGCGCGGAGGGCCACGGGGTCAGCAGCCGCGCCGGAAGAGGGACGGTGGTCCCGGGAGCCGAGCCGAGCCGAGCCGAGCCGAGCCGAGCCGGCCCCCGCCGCCCGCACGAACAGCCGCCTGCAAGCGCTACCGCGTGCACAAACCTACACCCCCTGCCCCGCTTCGCTTCCGGCGCGGGCGCCTGCAGATGACGTAAAGCGCTTGAAGCGGAAGTAACCATGTTAGCTTAGGGCAGAGGGCGGGCAATGCGCTCGTGGATAAGGCGAAGGACAATGCTGGGAAGAACGTCCCTGAATTGCGCATGCGCAGAGGCATCCTCCGAAGCTCGGGAGAAAGCGGGAATTCCCGACCTGTTTGTAACCTTGGGGGAGACTTTCGGCCATGGGGCGACTGTTAAATTGAAATAATAATAGCAACAATAACGTGATCCAGAGCGGGAGAACAGAGTTTTAACGCGTCGTGATGGCTACGCGTTAAAAGGGTAGTGGGGAAACACATGGAGGAGAAGAATATCGATAGCTGCTAGTCCTCATGACTAGAAGCAATCCGCAATATCATGGACAGGATGCCTCTTGCATACTTTGGCTCAGCTGCCAATTCTAAGGGAGCCTTGTGTTAGGCCTGAATTAGAAGAAGGCTCAGAATTGGAAGGGAAGCCGTGAAAGAGCTAGAAAAAGATCTAGGGTCTCAGGTAATGGCATTTCATTGGAGGCCAAGGCTCAGACGTGGTGCTGTTCAGCATCACTATGTGTGGGTGTGAAGAAAAGCACAGGAAGAAAATGGATGTGTTTGAAACATGGTGCAGGAGGAGAGCTTTGCAAATACCCAGGACTGACAGAAAGACAAATCAAGTAGGTAGTAGAGCAAATCAAGCCAGAACTTTCCCCAGAAGCAAAACTGAAAAAACCAGATTTTTTTGCTTATATAATGAGAAATGTAAAATAAACTGTCGTAGCTTATTATACAAGGCAAAATAAATGGGAAAAATGTGTAGGAGAAAGAGAAAGAATGGGTTGGAGGCAACATTATATCATTGTTTAGATTGACCATCAATCTTAACTGTTTCGTTGTCAAGATACCCAACCTCTGGTAGGAAAGAAATGAGAAGCGAGTATGTTTCACACATACACAAACACATGCAGAATATATTCTAATTTTCTTTAAACTGTAATCCTATGCATGTTGAGATGAAAAAAAAATTCTACAACTCCAAGCCAGTTTGTGCCTTTGTAGGACTCCTTTTAGGCTTCCATATTTAACTTGAAATTTTAAAATTTATTTAATGGATTTAACTTCATTTCAACATCTTGCCATGAAGAATTTGCCGCACATGGTTGACCTGTATTCTTTGTGCATTTGCTCTGATCTATTTAATAATGCACGTTAATTAAACATCAATTGCCTATCAACCATTAGTGAATTAACAGTGTTTGACTGGGTAGGGATAGTAGCTTGAGGGGAATAACGCTGAAATCAGACCAGTGTGCGGGACTGTTTTACTGGATGACAAACAGTTGCCAACAGTTATATGACTGTGTGCTTTCATCTAAACCTCGAGTTATGAGAGGCTACCAAAAGAAGGGTCAAGACCGGTTGGCTGGTTGGTGGCTGAGGTGGTGTTGCACTGGCTTGGCCTTTCTGAGTTGGGTTCCACATTTTTTCACTTGCCTTTGAAACTCATTCCATTCTCCTTGCGTAGGTTTTTTGAACCCTGTCATGAGGACTAGAATCTGGGGCATCAGACTGACTTCACGAACAATGGACATTGTCATAGGCGCTAGCCAGGAGTGGCAATTCCCTGAAGGTAGCCGGTGTTTTCCAGAGGTGTTGGACAAAAACTCCCCGCATTCCCCACCAGCAAGGCCTCCTTCAGGTATGTTTGCACTGATGACGGCTTGCCAGCCGTATGTATTAACCCAGGCTTTAATCTGTTAAAGTCAGAGTACATTAACTGGTTTGCTGAGTGCTTGTTTTTGAAACGGGCTGTTACCAAACACCTGGCAGGCATTTGCGTTCGTTGGCCTCTCTAGTGCGTTGCGCGGTTTGCCCTTGGAGGGACTCTCCCGCTTGGTTGGCTTCCGGAGGGCTACTCTATGCACGGCTAAGGGTGCGTTCTACTGCATGTTCAGCTAGCTAAAAGCCCTGCTATTCCCAGCATGCCCCAGCCTTACAGGGCTTTTTTGTCTGAACCTGCAAAGACTTACACCTTTCATCTGCTTAAGGGCAGGGCAGGGCAGGGCAGTGGTTAGCGTGTTGGACTGGGGCCCTGGGAGATCCAGGTTCTAGCTTCCACAGGCCCTTGAAGTGACTTTGGGCCAGTGATGCAGCCTAACCTACCTCACAGAGTTGTTGTTGTGAGGTTGAAAGGGAGCTGAGCGAGACTCCTTGGGTTCTTTCCAGAGGAAAAAAGATGGGATATATATGCAAAGTAGTAGTAGTAGTTGGGGCTGGTCTACCAGCTGCGCTGACAGGCCAAAGATCCGACAGAGGCAAACCTTCCAGGCGTTGCTTCTGCATGCAGGGAAAGAAGAGAGGAAGGAAACGCAGCCCCGGCTCCGCTGCATTTCCATCTTCCGTTTGGAACGCTGCTCTACCCATTGGACCGCGCTCCCGCGCTCCTCCGCCCCGCCCCTTCGTCAGGAGGCGACCGGGCGATTTGCATGCTTGCGGGCGGCGCGCTCCGATTGGCTCCCTCGCGTGCCGGCCCGGCTCGCGGCGGGTGGAAGGTCGCGCGGGCCGCCGGGGATGCGCTGGTCGCGATTCCCTGCAGGTGAGCCGGCGTGTGCGCGGCTGCGCCTGCGGCTGCCCGGGCGAGCTGCGCAGCCGGGCGCGGGCGCGGGCAGCCGGCGGGAGGGCACGCTCCGCAGAGGGACTGCGCCTGGCCGCAGGCGGCGGCCAGGTGCGCCCCGCGCAGGGCCGGTGAGGGTGGCCGCCGGCGCCGCCCCCTGAGAGCTCCCCGGGCAGCCTGCCCCGCCGCGCCCCACGCGCACCCCGCCCGCGGCTGCGCCCGTCGCCCCGGACGGAAGCCGCCGACGCCGGGTGCATGGACGGGCAGCGCCGCAAGAAGTGGACCAACTTCACCATCGGCCTCCTCTTCCTGTCCGGGGGTATCGAGTACGGTAGGTCTGCGGCGGTCTCTGCTGGCAAACAGCAGAGAGGATGCGCTTCACGGGCTTGGCGCGGGGCTCCTCTAAGCCCCCGACTAAGCTTGACCTAGGAGGGCAGCAGCCCGAGCTCTCTCGTGCGTACCTCCGCCCCGTCCACCCTTCTGCTCGGCGGTACTCGCCGACCCCCCGCGTACTTGGCGTTTTGCCCCCAAAGGACTTCCTCTCCTGGGTGCCTCCCAGCTTTTCTGCGATCCGAAGTGCTCCACTTCCCTATCCATACATCTCTTCTTACAAATACCGAGACGGGACCCTTTAATGGCACCAGGGACCTCAGAGCATATATAGAGCCGGTGTGGCGTCGTGGTTAAGAGTGGACCGAGACTCAGGCAATCTGGATTCTGGTCCCCATCCATGAAGCTCAACTGGGAGACTTTGGGCTGGTCACAGACTCTTGGCCCAACCTACCTCGCAGGGCTGTTGTTGTTAGGGTAGATTGAGAATAGGAGGAAAATTATGTAAACTTCCCTGAGTTAGCTGGAAGGAAAAAAGACAGGCAATAAATATAACGAATAAATGTGCAAACCTTTTTATTTAACTGTCATTTTAAAAACTAATTTAAAATTTTAATGTTTAACAGTTGCTTTTATTTAACTTATTTAATTGTATTTTGGTTAGTTGTTATTTATTGCTGTTTTATTGTGTTGTTTTAATGACTGTAAGCCGTCCCGAGATGCCATGCATAAGGGACAGCATACAAAAGTTTTAAATAAATAAACCAGCAGTTGCAAACTTATTTTTTTTTTGGCCTGTGAGACCTAGCCCCATTTTTTGGTACCTAGCACCACTCCTGTCCTGAACCTTTCATTCATCTGGATAGACACACACACACACCACATCTGGATATATCTGCTTGATTTTTTAGGCCAAGCTGGCGTCTTGGGAAGTCTTTTAGAATCTCAGATCTGACACAAATTAGTGGAGAGGAGCCTTTATTAATGGGAGAGGTTCTCTAGATTGCACAATGTGGACTTTGCAGTGTCTTTATTGCTATATGGTGCAAGCCTTTTCTTAGACCAGCTCGGAGATCAGCAAAATACTCCACTATATGGATTTTCCCTTTAGCCAGACAGTGTAACCGTCCTTCTTTTTGGAATGTGATTTGATTGCTTGCATGCTTCAGGAGCTCTAATTTTACTTCTTTAAGGGTTTACAGGACTCACTATCAGACTGTAGAAAACAAATAAAATTTGGAAATATTAAAGCTGGGAGAATCTCATTTCCCAGTCCTCTTTTCCTTGCTTGCTTGCTTGCTTGCTTGCTTATTTATTTATTTATTTATTTATTTAAACTATTTATATGCCGTCCTATTCACAAAATGCCTCAGGACGGCTTACAGCATAAAATAAAATATAACATAAATAAAATTCCCAGCCCACACTGGCTGCAGTTAGAAACATAGAAAAGACTATTAAAACTTATTAAAATATTGCTGGAATAAAAAGGTCTTAACCTGGCGCCGAAAAACAAATAACGGCACCAGGCAGACCTCTCTGGGGAGCGCATTCCATGGATGGGGCACCACCACAGAGAAGGCCCTCCTCCAGGTACTTTGCCTCCTGATATCTCTCATAGAAGGCTCCCGGAGGAGGGCCTCTGCTGCCGATCTCAAGGGGCGAGAGGGCAAATATGGGCACAGGTGTTCCTTCAGGTATCCTTCTGATATTGCCTTGCTTGTTGCTTCTAGGACACCCAGGCCAGCAGTCATGTGATTTTGGAGGCTCACCTGCTGTCTTTTACCATCTCTGACTTGTGTGAGCTCCAAAACATTATCCTTTGTCCATTTGTTCCCAGATTCCCAGAAGCAAGTGCTTGACTTGTGAACACAGTATCTGCACCTGATCTTTTCCAGTATTTGCCTCTTCACCCTAGGTCAGGTTCTCCACACTCTCCTTACAAGTCCGTTGATGTTTATTTGAGGGGGCTTACTTTAGAGTTCCGTGCACTTCGGTGTTTAGTCATGCCGGCCCCGTGACCACGGAGACCATCTGCGGACAAACGCTGGCTCCCTCGGCTAGGAAACGGATGAGCACCACCCCTTAGAGTCAGGCATGACTGGACTTAACGTCAAGAGGAGACCTTTACTACTTTAGAGTAAATTCACCCAGGATTTATTCTAGTGTGAGCTTCATTCACATCAGTTAAGATTAGTAGCTGGAATTGCGACAACATCCTGACCCAATCTGTGCCTTCCAGCTCTTTTGGGCTTCTAATTGTTGGCTTAGAATGACAGATATTTCCATCCAACGTATCTAGAAGGGATTGGCTTGCAGATTGCAGTGTTGCGGAAACATAAGACTTAATCTGAAGGCGAGCATTGCTGATGAAGCGTTTAAAGGTTATACATGGTGCCAAGAGATGGGAAGAGAGTTTTTTCTCTCTGTATCTCACAATCGTGTTAGAATGGGAGTGGGGGTGTTTTTTTTCCAACACAACAGTTTGGGAATAGGTGAGAAGAACACACTTATTCGCAAACTGGAATATTTAAGGAATTCCCTGCTACAGCTTGTGAGGGTGGAAGCCACCTTGGATATCTTTGAAAGGGGAGTATAGAAATTTGTAGTGCAGAGGTGGCAATACCTTCTCCAAGGTCAGAGGCAGTATACTGGGGAGACAATGATGAAGTTCTTTTTTCTCCAGGAAGTCACAAGTGGGGCTCAGACACTTCTACTTGTTGTTTGGACTATATCCCTCATAGCACCCGGCTACTAACCATGCTCGTTGGATATAATGTGGCTGGCATCCAAGAAAATCAGGAAAGCTGCAAGCTGTTCTCTCCTGGACTAGAGGGATCTGGTCCAGCAGAGCATGATGTACCATCTTTCTGGCAAGGTCTTGTGCCAAGCACTGCCTTGCTGATTGTTTGCCACCAATCCTACATCGGTGAAAAGTAGGACATAAATGGAAAAATGTATTTTACTTTGGGCTGTAAAAATTTACCTCAAAAACTTTGAAGAATGGGTTTAAAAAACAGGTGCGTGATAACCAAAGACAGGAGAACGCTATCAAGTGGAGAATTCAGCATGCTAAGAGTTCTGGCTTTTGTTTTTAAAAACAAGTTTCTAGTCCTTATTGTTGCAAAGACTAATTTGACACTGTGTGCAGCGCTTGAGCAGACTTCAGAAACCAAAGAGGAGGGCCAGCACTGACTGGGAGTGAAACGCTAGTGGGTGGAGTTTGCAAATTATCTTGATTTCTATTTGCAAATTATCGTGATTCCTTGGGGCTAGAGTGGGAGGAACGCCTGGATGGCTTTTCCTTTAAACAAGTCTTCACACCCAGTGTTCCCAAAGCTGCAACAGTATCTTCACTCAGTGAAATGGCAGGGAGCTATCTATTAATAGACCAGACGCACATGGGAAAGCATCAGCGTCAGATTCACAGCATAGGAGCAGCAATCGCTTGCATAAAACCTGGTACATGTTGCCATGGCAGTCTTGGAAAACAGTCGCCTTCTGGGCATCCCTCAGTCTACCACAACAGAACATCACAGGGGTTCGTGGGTGGGGGAAGAAAGCCGAAGAAATCGAGGACCAACCCGCTATGAACTGTCAGGGTTCTGGTTGCCCTTTCCATGCGGCACCTGCTATGCTGGCCTTTCCCAACCCTGGTACCCTCCAGGGGTTTTGGGCAACAACTCCCAATTTTGAGTCCTGCTGGCTGGGGCTGGTGGGAGTGGACATAGTCTGGGTGTGGGGAGATTGGCACCATGAAAATCCTGTGATGTTTAAGAATGAGAAAGAAACAGATCGTGGCACCGTGCTCTACATAGTTCAAGAATACAGGAGTTTTATTGTTTGCTTTAGCAAGCCAGGAGAAAGGAGACCAAGCTGGGAGAGTTGCTGCCTTGCTGGATGCAAAGCATTGCATTGCTTTTGCTGAGCTCCTGCTCTTTCTGTTGCAAAATTCGACTGCAGCTTAAAAGAAAGTCAGCTAGCTTAAATTTTGCCATGTCAAAGAGTGCACATAGGAAATCTTTCTCCGCTGCTCTTAGGGGCATGGAGAAGTGCAGAAATGAATGCGGAATTCACAGCGAAGGGTTTGGACCAAGGCTCAGCTTAAATGCTCAAAGTAGCATTGCTCTTGTCTGCCTTTCATGGGCTCCTCCTAAGAGCTTGCAAGGATTACAAACACGCAGGGCCATGCAATCTGTAGCATGTTGCCAACACATTCTTTGCTAGCCTTGCTCCCAAGCTAGCATCCTGCAGATATTTTGGGCTACAAGTCCCATCATTCCTAGCCAGCATGGCTATTTGAGGGTCCAGGGCTGTGATCCTATGCATGCTTAGCTGGCCCCACAACACCCAGAATCCCCTGCTAGCCATGCTGGGAGTTGTAGGGCATTTTCTCCTGTCTAAACATTCACCACATCATGTTCTAAATGACCAAAATGCCTTCCTGTCCTTTGCCTTCCTTTACCTTTCCACTTCAAAAAAATGATGATTTGAGGGCCTTACTAGAATCAGTAGGACTGATCAGGTGTTTTTGAACTCCTCAAACACTCGGTCGGTCATACTTACTGCCCAGATGGTGTCTTTCCCCTTTCACAGTTCTTGCTTTAATATTTTACTCGCTTTAATATTTTATGCACTGTCAGCTCTGTAACCCAGCCTCCTGCGGGCAACACGGGGCCAGAAGTGGCATTCTCGCTTGAGCTGCTGGCTACCGAAAACAGTTTATGAAGCTGATTGGTGGGAGGTTTCGGACGGATAAAAGGAAGGACTGCTTCACACAGCCTATACTTAGTATGGAATTTGCTGGCATGGGAAAGAGATTGGGCAGATTCACGAGGGAGGAGGCTACCAGTGACTACTAGACTTGCTGGCCATGGGCTCCCTCCTTTACCAGTTGCGGAGGAGCTTGGGCAGGTGGAGGTCTTGCACCCATCCTGCTGGAGGGATCCTGTGGGCAGCTGCTTGGCCACCAGGTGTGTGGAGTGCTGGACTGGCTGGAACTTTGGCCTGTCTTTTCTTATGTTTTTACGTTTCTCAGTTAATCTCCGTTCATGTAGACAGGGCCGTCTGGAGCACGGACGGAAGGACGGCACCACCAAGAGCTTCTGTGAGGAATTGCCCAGATCTGTATAGCCTCTCCTCTGCCCAAGATGCCATTGTGGACTTTGGCACTGGGCAGGATGTGTGCTGAGGGGTAGTGGAAGGCCACCTTGTTGCGAAATGTAAAGCGCCGTTTTTTAAATGGGCTACCATATAAATCCAGCGGAAAGCTCCTACTTATGTGTCTTGCAGGAAAAGACGCTGGTCATGGACTGGGTTGCAAGTAGAAATGTGCCCAGATAGAAGCAGTTCTTTATGACCGGGCTCTGTTTACCCACATCCTCTACTGCAGGGGTGAGTCCAAGGTAGAGCTCCAAATGGTTTTGCAGTTTAACTTCCAGAAACTGCTGCTAAAGTGGCTGATGGTCAGCAATGCTGGGAGCTGAAGTCCAAGCAAGTCCAATACTTCACAGGGCCTTGGCTTGTTTGGTAGTGAGCTTAGAAACTTTGGCGGACCAGAGCTGCCGAGAGTTTGGGTCTCAAGGCTCATGACCTGCTGTTCAGACGGCTCTGGTGCCAGCAAAGGTAGACATGGATTTCAAAATGGACAGGGCCCTGGGTGAATTGCCAGGTGAATGCTTCTACTTTTAGCATTCATCTAGGACAGGGGTCAGCAACCTTAAACACTCGAGCCATTTGGACCCGTTTCCCACACAAAAGAAAACACCGGGAGCCAAAAAACCCCTTTGACATCTAAAGTGAAGATAACACTGCATAACACTGCTTATTATTGTAAGCCGCCCCGAGGCTTTGGCGAATGGGGCGGCATAAAAATGTTTTAATAAATAAATAAATAAATAAATAAATAAATCGGTTTTTTACCTTTATGCTATGTATAAAAAAACTAAGTGTGTTGCATTTATGGAATTAATGAAAGATACATTTATATAATCTCCATCTGTGAACGGCTTCCTGTGCCTGACTATTTCCTGAGCGGCCACAAAACTAGCTTATGTAGTTGAATTTGCAGACTTCATCCACTTCTTGAAATGATTTTTGCTCAGATCAACCTTCCGCATCAGTTCCGAAATGACTTTTTTTCTCTCATCTCCATCCAGATATTTTTAGCAAAGGCTGTGTGTTTATTCTGGAAATGTCTTGCAACATTCGACTTTTTGTTGTTTGCCAATTTCTCACCACATATTAAGCATACTGGTAAACTAGTCTCTTCGGCAGTGAAGGCAAATGAATTCGCCCATGTACCATTAAACGTTCAGTTTTCTTCTGAAACTTTTCTTTTCTTGGATTTATCCATGGTTGGCATACCGGTGGTTGAAAAGCACAAGAAATTGTGTGCCGGCAGGTGTCACACATTGGCAGTTGTGACACATATTTTGAGTGACAGGGAGCCTCAGCAGAGCGATGAAAGAGCCACATGCGGCTCCGGAGCCACGGATTGCTGACCCCTGATCTAGGAATATAGCTGGATGTATAGGAAGTCCTGAAATGCTTCTATTATTTTTCTTGGCTTCTGTTTACAGGGCAAGTATGCCGTAAAGAAGGGTCTTGGATGGGGAAGTGTTTAAATGTACCTTAAAGGCACAATTCTATACAGGCATAGAGAGCAGTACAGTCTCGGGATACATCCAGACCAGCTGGCTGGGCTTTGCAGGACTTCTTGCTGTCTAAACCCCTGCATGGTGGTTGGAGGCAGGTGTGACTTTAGCACGGATGTCCCTTTTGGCAATTTTCGTAACTGGTGCATCTCTCTCCTTTCTCCCTCCTTCCTCCTCCAAGCTGTGATCCTGCCAACCATCTGGGCCTACCTGCAAACGCTCGATGCTGAACCGTACTTCTTGGGCCTGGGCATCTCGGCATTCAGCTTTGCTGGGTTGATCACTGGTCCGCTCTTTGGATACTGGTCCGACCGGACACAGCGCACCAAGACCGTCATCCTCTTCGCCAACCTGTTCCAGATTGCAGGTACCTGGGGGGAGGCCGCATGTACTTGAGGAGTGAGACTGTGCTAATGAGGGTGGCCTCCCTGTCTGCCGGATGGGCTGGACTACAATGCCTTCTGTCCCCATCCGGCTTGGGGATTATGGGAGTTGTAGTCCTGTGGATCTGGAGGGCATTCTTTTGGGAGAAGGCTGCACTCCAGAGCAGCTTTAAATAAGGCATTGTATCACTGACATGAAACATCAGATGTGAGCTGATGTCTAATACCTGAAGAATAGGCCCCTCTCGCCCCCTTGCAAATGGACTGTAGAAAGACAAGGAATATTTTCCAGGGCCTCTTTCCACAGCATGTTACCCTCCACATGTGACGTCTGGTAGCTGGCATAGTGTTTTTTGTCATGGAACAGATGTGCAGGAAAAATGCTTTCAGCAGGCAAGTCTTAGTGCTGCAAGCGTCTTCCCCTCCGTTCACCAGGCCCTTCCACTGGGTAGAGGAGGGGGACTCTGCTGCCAGGACTCTCGCAGTTCATTTAGCAGGCTTACCTGCTGGTAAACCTGGTTTCCCCTCTGCCCTTCTCTTGCAGGGAATTTCATGTACTTCGTCGGGGGTTCCAAGTGGATGCTCCTCAGCAGCCGATTGGTGGCAGGTAAGAGCCGGGAGGGAAGCCTTGCCTTTAGACACCCCTCTTTAGATGCACTAGACTGCAGAGCCCATCATCTGCAGCCAGCAGACGCACCGCTCCTTCCTTGCTTATCCTCTGGGTCTCCCCTGCAGGTGTGGGGACAGGGGCGGGAGCATCTGTCTTCGGCTACCTGACCCGTTCCACCGCCCCCCAGGAGCGCGCCACCGTGTTTGCAGCTGTCATGGCATGCCGGCAGGTTGGGCTGCTCATAGGTAAGGCCGTTTCCCCCCTGCTGCCTCTTGCTGGGGTTCCCAAAGGTGGCAAGGTTTGCCCCTCTGCACTGCAGTTTTGTCTTGGGCATTGATGGTCTGACCTTTCTTAGCGCACATCACAGCTTCCTTGTGGGGTTTGAGGAGGAGGACAGAGAGGTGGCATGGGGAAGTAAGATCACTCACCCTTGACCTGTCTGGGCACTGCGATGGGTAGCTTTTTCAGCATGGTATCCTCCAGATGTTTTGGACATCAAGGCCCATCAGTCCCGGCAAGCATGGCCACTGGTCGGCAATCCAGGGAGCTGAAGTGTAGAACATCCGGAAGGTGCCTGGTTTGAGAAAACCCATGTAGCCTGGCAAATTGAGGCTATTCATGTGATTTTTAAAAAGCTGCGACAACTCTAAAAAGTTCTCATTTTGAAACATTGCTATTCCTGAACAAGCAGGTGTGTTAATGATGGCATTAAAACATCTTTGGCCTTTGTGATGAGAGAGCAGCAGAAATCTGAGATGCTTCTCTGCTTAACTTGGAAGAAATGATTCACTGATTACCAGAATCAGATGATCTGGGACAGAATAAAAAATATTGATCTTTGATTGTTCTTAGGACTAGTTGATTCCTGAGTCTTTGATTTGGTGATTTAACAACTTCTGCTCCTGGGTGTTTGTGTTCATGGGCACTGAATCCAAATTCTATAAAACTGTTTACATTTACTAGTTCTGGTGTGACATGTTCTGCCTTGAAGAGGATGCCAGCTGAAAAATATTTATTTATTTATTATTTATTTAGAATTTTTGTATGCCATCTCATTGCATAGCCTCGGGACAGCTTACATAAAATAAATAAACATAATACAAATAATACAAATAAAATCCGGATTCACCCTTGCTGCGAATTAAAACCTATAGATGATATTAAAAGTTATTAAAATATTGTTTAAATAGAAAGGTCTTAGCCTGGCGCTGAAAAACAAATAACGACGGCGCCAGGCAGACCTCTCTGGGGAGCGCATTCCATAGGTGGGGTGCCACCGCAGAGAAAGCCCTCCTCCGGGTACTTTGCCTCCTAATATCATTCACAGAGGGTTCCCGGAGAAGGGCCTCTGCTGCCGATCTCGGGGGCAGGAGGGCAAATATGGAAGGAGGCGTTCCTTTAGGTATCCAGGTCCCAAGCCATTAAATACAGACTTACCTTGGAGACAACTTTGGAGCATCATCCTGCCTTGTGTTTTCTGGGTGGGGGGACAATGCAAATGTATTCAAATGTTAATGCAAAGGAGCGGCAGGGCATGTTCTGCCACTTTGGGGGTGCTGTTTGGGGTGCTGGTGGGCAAAACCCACTGCCTCAGGTTCTTTGCAGCGATTACTGTGAAGATTGCTGTTGTTGCATTGTGGAGTGTGTGCAGCAGTGGCGAAGAAAGTGAAACGCTAAAATAACCTTTCATCCAATTTCTGGTCTGAACTGGGATAGGCTTGGGATGTGGAAACCTGACCTGCAGTTTCGTGCAGCCACTAGAATTCCGCCTGCTTGCAGACAAGAAGCAGGTCTTGGTTCGGCTGCGTTCTGCACCCGTGCAAGGACACTGGGCAAGGCCTTTTCCTGCGGGTCTTGTGAACACCAAGCTAGTACCGTACTGCGTTATTTCAGAAGAATTGTTCGGCAGCCAAACCCCCGTGTGGTTTGGGGAGGGTCTCCCCATTTGCAGGAAGGTTCTTCAGATGCAGCGCTGGTGAGCAGTGCTGCCAGTTCTCTGTGCATGGAGGTCTGTTTATGCTGGAGCGCACCTGGCCAGGTGTGGTCTTCCAGAGGGTTTGCTCTACAGGTACTCTACCTTGGTTAATAAGGCAGAGTACCTGTAGTACCTTGGTTTCATGCAGCCTCCTCTAGTCTCTTGAGTGCAGCTCCTGTATCAGTGCTCATGCTGGTGGCAGATGGGACTTGTGATCCAGAAGGTTGGGAGGGTGCCAGGTTGGGGGGGGGGTGTCTTAAAGAACCACAAGGCAGGGGCTTCCTTAGCTCTGCGTGCGTCTGGAGGGTCTTTCTGTTCTCTTGCCTCACCTGAATGCCACCTTCAGACACCTGACCTGCCGTATTTGCTCGCAGGACCAGCCTGTAATCTCTTCCTGCGCCTCTGCAACTTCCAGGTGGGACCCTTTGTGGTCAACAAGTTCACATCGCCGGGGGTGAGTAGCTGCGGCTTGTTAGCTAGGCAGAGGGGGCTGGGTTGCCCCGACGGGTACATTTGCCCCACGTCTGGCCTGGTTGCCCCTACGCTTCAGTCAGGCTGAGCTCTGAAAACAGCACGGCAGAGCTGCAGCTAGGCAGAAACTTCTGATCCTTCGCCGCTTTGAGAATAGCTTCTGGTTCCACCCTCAGGGTGGCCTCCATTGCTTGATGGCTAAACAGCAGGGAAGATGCTTCTTAATATTTCCAGAGAGGATCAAGGGATCCCCTCTCCCAGCTCTGTCATGTCTCCCCCTTCACCAAGGCGGGCTGGTTCTCACGCTCTGCCTGAGGATCTTCCCTAGCTGACCCTGGAACTGCCAGCCCTCTGCCCCCTCACCTCTTCCTCAGAATCGGACGATTCTATCTGGGCAGACTGAAAGATGTGAGAACTGCCCCCCGCCCTTTGCAGTCCTCTGGGATCCCTCACCCAGCACTGCCTCTCTGTGCGCCCTCAATCATGTGCTGCTTCTCCAGCTTTGGTGCAATCCCCCCCCCGCCCCATTCTAAACGGCTAGTATGCCTTTCCTGAAGATTAGTTGCCGGTAATTAGACCCTAATGCTATTGCGCTGGAGGCTGGAAAGACCAAAATAGGACGACAGCCTTTGATCCATAGCCGACGTGGATGTGCAGCTCCGGGCACAGTGATGCCAAATGCTAAGCCCGGCCGCCGGCTGGTTTCGTCCTGTGCTTGGATTAAGGTTCCCAGGGCTGCTGTCCCCTTCCCTCTCCTGCTGTGACACTGGCTGAGGAGTGGAGACACGCGGGAGGGGCAGAATCCAAAGTCCCGACTGGGCCTGTAGTGTGGCCTCGTGCTCGCTCTCTCGGGGCCCTGCCGTTGCGCTCAGGCGCCTTTTCTGCCCCCCTCTCGCTTCGCCTGCAGCTCTTCATGGCCCTGGTGTGGCTTCTGCTCCAAGTCATGGTGGCGACGATGTACCACGACCTGCAGCCTCTGCCGCCGGCGACGTGCGGCAAGGGGGCAAGGGTCGTGCCGGAGGAGCCGCCGGCCGCTCCGGAGCAGGAGGAGGAGGAGCCCCTCATGCGGCACCCCGCCGGCCTGGAGGAGGCGGCGGAGGGTGGCGGCTACGGGAGCACCGCTGTGGAATGCCGAGAGCCTCCGCCGGGGGGCGAGGGTCGCTACGTGCCCAACGGGCACCTGGCGGATGAGGAGGCCGCCGCCGAGAAGGGCAAGGGCCCCTTCCACGACTTCAGCTCTGTGAGAGGTGAGCCTGCTCTCTTCTGGCGCAAGCAGCGCGTCGTGAGACTGCGATACCCTCGTCCATGAGTGGGCGTGGCGGCCGGGAATTTGGACGGCTTTCAGAGGGGGCCGGAGGTGTGCATGGAGGGAAGGCGTGGGCGGCTGCTGGACCTGGTGGGTGGAGGCCATCCCCGGAGTTAGGAGAGCGTGCCCTTGCACCCCAGTTGCTGGGGGACGTGGGTAGGAGGGGTCTGCCGCACTCCGGTCCCGCTTGTGGGTGTCCTGTGGGTAGCCGGGTGGCCACCGTGGGAGCAGAGGACTGGGCAAGGCCAGCTGCTGGGTGCCTATGATGTTCTTAAGCAAGCTGGCCTGCTCTCAGCACTGACTGGAGACCAGAGGGTCTTTTAAAGCAACAAACTTTCTAGAACCTTACAAAAAATGGAGCTGTTGCAAAGATGGTGAGCTTAATGTTTTGTAGGCAGGAGAGCTGCTGCATGGAATGAAGGTGAGAGCTTCACAGGCAGGAGAGCTGTTTACTTGTGAGCAGGCACCCGAAGATTGGGGTGTTCGGGGTGCAATTAGGAAGTGCTCCTGGATGATTCGGTCCTGCTTGCTTCTGTGTGGATGTGCAGGTGTTTCCTTGTGCCTACGCAGAAGTGAGAATCTCACCAAATGCCGCTTTTGGGTAGAAAGGCAAGGTACACATCGAGTCACGTTAAGAAACCTCTGGCCCCACCTGCAGGTGGAGTGTGGCCCCCGAGAGCTTTCCCACTGTGCAGGTTGGCCCTCAGGTTCAAAATAGGCCTGCAGCCCACGCGTCTGTGGAAGTGCAGATGCTGAAAGCCTTCCTTGCACGGGCCAAGTGAAGCAGAGCTGGTCTGCACACTACCCGGCACCTTGCTTTTAATGTTTTTTGAACTCAGATGATTCAGCCAGCTCTGCTGCCAGATCAAAAAATCAATCCATTTTCTATTTAAATGAATCTGTTTTAAATCTTCAAGTGGGAAGGGATTAGCTCCTGGGAGGAAGGAGCCCTGTGGCCTGAGCGACCTTGGGCAGAGTTCAGAAGTCTGATGGAGACAGGTGAGTGAGAAGTCAGGGGAAGGACTCCTATCTGACGCCTTGGCTCTCCGGTGGCTGTAAGCAGCCCTTCTCTCCTGCCTGGGGTGAGGATGGTGCGGGCTAGAAAGGGCTTGTCTTGTCCTTGCAGAGTACCTGCGAGAAGAAGTAGTGGTTCTCCTCACGGCCCAATTCATCACCCTCTTCAATCAAACTGCACTGGAGGTACGTGCCGCTCAAACTGGTTGCCCCTTTGCACATCTGAATGCAGAGCCTGGAACGAAAGCACCTTGTGTTCTTTTTCCGCCTTAGACTATGGTGACCCCAATTACACAGCGATACCTGAACTTTGGGGAACTGGAGAACAGCATCATGTACTTCCTGTGTGGCGTGGAGGTGAGCATGGAGTGCTGTGGAGAAGGCAGCTCTCAGGGCAGTGATCGAAAAGTGCCTTGGTACATTCAGTGCTGGATTGTTCCTTCTCTGTACCCTGCTCCCTGAAAATGTTCAGTACAGCAAGTGACTTGAAAGATTTCACGTGTCCACTTTTCTCCTGCTCTTGCCCTTGCTCAGACAGGTCTGGCAGGTTTTTAAGCACCACAACAAACTGCCAAGCCTATTTGAGCAGGGGAGAAACTGGGATGAGTGTACACATTGCAAACGGTAATCCCGCTTCAAGCCATGTTTCTCAAGAGGAACTCTGCCTCTGGCATTGACTTGACACCTCACCGGGGGTAAGAGAGGGGGAGGCAAGACTCTTGAATGAAAACCTTGAAATGGCCTTCCCTGCCATGATTAGTGGCTCAACCTCACTCTCTCTGAAGAGCTGGGCCAGTATTCTGGATTTTTGTTTCTTTCTTGGCTTGACTGCTGCTGTGCTGTGTTTGAGGAGCGGCCCTTGGAAACAGCTTAGAAACTCTTACTGGTCTGCACTGCGCTGAATCCATTGTGGCGTTTATCCAGAGCTGAAGGTGCAGCTTGCGCCACGCAGGTCCCCTTTTGATCTTTCTGCACTGATCAAAAACCATTTGCTTCTATGCCAAAATCCCAAGTGCTCAGTTGTCCGTCTCAAGGCCTCAACCATCTGGGTCACCCAGCTGGGAGGGGTGTTCTCCAGTTATGCATCTCCTGCCCCAGTGCAAATTAGCAGTGACCATCACGAATGTGTCAGTCGCTATTTATTCAGGGATGCACTGGAGTTTCCCAGCCTAGTGGAACTGCCAAATGTACTCAGCCCTGAGTGTCTCCTTTGAGCCTTCCTTTGTTGGGAACTTGCCACAAAATGGCATGTGGCCAGACATATAACAGGGAGCAGAAGGTGTGAGCTTAGGATGCGGATTCGGTCCAACTCATGCCAGCCGACTGCATGTTCCCAAGCCCAATTCAAGGTGCTGGTTTTGACCCATAAAACCTTAAATGGCTCAGACCACAATAGCTGTCAGAGTGTCTCTCCTGGTATGTACTTACCTGTATACTGTGATCAGTATCTGAGGCCCTTCTCAGAGTACCTCCTCTCAGGGAGGTTCAGAGGAATGCAATAAAGAACAGGCCCTTTATAGTGGTGTCCTCCTCCCTAATTGTAGAACTCTCCCAGGTGAGGTCTGGTGCCACCATTGTCATCTTTGTGGCACCACATCAAAGCTTTCCTCCTAGGTTTTTGAGAGCACGTGATGGGTTTTCTGTGCATCAGCACTTAGAGTCTGAACTGATGTTCATTTCCATTTTGAGTATTTTAATGGGAACTTGTTTGAGCTGTGTCAAGAGAGGCAAATCGGGGCATGATTCGGTTGGATTTCTGACCATTTCTGACCACTTCTGAGTCTGGAGACTTGCAAAATTCCTATGCCCTGCCCAGCTGTTGCTAGTAGGGTGGGAAAAGGATGGAGATGGCCTGTTCCTTTTAAACAAGGCCACTCCACCCCCTGAGCCCTTCTAGTTCTCTTAATGGTAGTGGATGAAAGTGACAGAGAGACCAGAAGTTTCTGTGGATCATAGTATCTCTTCCTCCTTCTTCCCTGCCCACCTGGGTTCCCCCCCGTTCACCCCTATAAGGCTGCCAGAAAGCTGGTGACAGTTCTTTCCACAATGGCTGTGTGATGATCGGCTTTTGGATTCTCCCTTCTGTGGTCGAAGGGTCTCTGGAACCTGAAATGCTTTGCCAGAAACAGTAGGACCGCTCTCTTAAGAAATTCTCCTGTTCTGGGCTGGGCAGACAAAGAGCCCCACTTGATTGCAGGTTGCTTCCTGTCTTCTTGCAGGTTATTGCTGGATTCTTCCTGGTGCGCTGTCTCAGCACTCGTCTGGCGGATCGGGTCATCTTGGTCCTTGGCCTGGTCATCTGCAACGTAGCCTGTGTCTGGTGCTTGGTTTTCCTGTCACAACCCCAAGGTAAGGATCCTGAGAACAGCAGCAAACTGATGGGTTACCTGCCGACCAAGAGCCCGTGTTAATACTGATTTATTTATTTAAAACTTTTCTATACTGTCCCATCACTGATGTCTCAGGATGGTTTACGACGACACCAATAAAATAAGATAAAGAGATAAAAGTAGCATAGCATCCAATAATGAATATAAAAACCACAAATTAAGACAGTAAATGATGGGAACATAAAAAGGTTTTCACCTGGCGCCAAAAGGGAAAAAGCATTGGCACCAGGTGAACCTCTCTGGGGAGCATGTTCCACAGTCGGGGTGCCACCCCAGAAAAGGCCCTCCTCTGGGTAGCCAAATTTCTTTCAAGATGCAATTTCCATCTCCCGGTCTATGATGGGAGATATTTTGTAGGTCAAGTATACTGGGAGGAAGTAAGAGCATCAGGAAAGAGTGGCTGGATTCAGCTGCTGTTCATCTCAGGATGCAAAGGCCGGGCCAAAATCCAGCTCTCTTGCGCTTGCTGGACTTCCTTCCCACACGTGGCCCAAGCCAGGAAACAGCTGAGCCACGTTCAAGCTTGAGAACGCCAGCGGCTTCTTTGTGAAGGGTGCCAGGCACATGACTAAGCTGACAACGCCCGCGAGTCACACCTGTGGAGGCAGAACCTGCTTGCACGGGGGGTGTGTCGAAGGCGGGTGTGCAGCCCAGCATCCTGGGCTCGCTTCCAGCTGGACACCCATGTAGCTCTTGGCACGAGGAGGACTTAGGGCAGAGAGGGTGCAGGCAGGAGTCTGGGAGCCCAGCCAAGGACATCTGCCAGACTCCCATCGCAAGCTATAGGTCTCTTACACATCTCTACTTCCGTATTTTGGGTCCAGGGCCAACCCTTTGCCTGAATGGACATTTGGAGGCCGATGACATTTCTGTACTGCCCTGTGGCCAAAGCACGGTGGGTGGTCCACAAAACGAGGTGGAAAGCCACCAAATGCAGTTACACGGTGAAGCCATCATAGGAACAGAAGGTTGTAATGGATGCGAACCCAAGGAAGAGCTTCTAGTGGCTCAAAGACAGGCAAACAATCCCCTGAAAGATCTGCGGGACTGAAAAGCCTGGAGCATCAACGGGTGCCAAAGAGAATGCGGCACGGCTGCTGGACAAGCTTCTTTGGGAAGGCTGGGGTGCCGCTACTGCAGAGGCCTTGCCCTTGCCTCATTCGGTGGGGGCACCCTGTTGCTTCAGCAGCAGCCCTGGACTGGGTTGTGAGCCCCTGGCTGAAGATCTACAAACTGTCTCAGTAACCTTTTTCCAAGAGTGGTGGGTTAGGGTTAGGGTTGGCATGCTTGCAGAAAGCCTGCAAGCAGGACATGGCTTGCCCTCATTTGCATGCAGCATCCAGTATTGAGAGGTAGACTGCTGCTGAGCCTGGAGGCTCTATTTAACTGTCCTTGCTGTAATGTAATGTAAACATAAGGTTTACATTAATGGGTCTAATTTCCTTTTAAAATATTCACGCCTATGTCCAGCGGGATATAAGTAAATCCTTGAGCCTGGTCACCTACAAATGTCTTGATCCATCAGTGACCCACTGGCAGATGCAAGTCATACCTTGATGTTGGCATCCCACCGAGTGATGTGTCTTCCTGCCCAAATCCAGTAGACACCCAGTGTGGGATAGCAGTTACAGTGCTGGACTGGGATTCAAGAGATTGTGGTTCTAGTCCTCATGTGGTCATGAAGCTCCCTGGAGACCTTGGTCCAGTCGCAGACCCTCAGCCTGACCTACCTTACAGGGTTGTTGTGCCAATAAAATGGTGAAGAGGACCAGGCCTGCCACCTTGGTCTCCTTGTAAAAGGAACATTGATAGACGCAAACATTATAAGAAGTAAAAATAAAAGAAGAGCCTCTAGCCTGCCTACAAATTCTCTGCACTTCGTTGCCCCTCAGGTACCTTCTCCGTCCTTCTCGCGGAGCTGGCAGTGGGGGTGGCCCTGCAGGTCTTGGGCCTGCCCTTTGTCGCCGTCTCCCAGGTGTCACTCTTCTCCAAGGTCACGGCAGAGAGAACGCAAGGTGAGTCCACATTTCCCTCCCCAGGAGGAGCCGGGTCCGTCCTGTCTCTTCGGCTGCCTGCCAAAGCTGAGCCCCTGGTGGGGCAAGCACTGACGAGAGATCCCACATGTCCGGAGGCCAACTGCAAGCATCCCCGCCTGTCCAGGATGGCAGCCGGGGCTTCCCTCTTCTCCTGGTGTCGAGAGTATTAGAGAATTATGGCTGGGATGTCCATAAAGAGCTGCCTTTGTAGAGTCAGATGCTGGGTACATACATGCTGTGCAGCCCCGTATTTTGTGGAATGGGGGGTGGGGGGAGAGAAGCCTTTCTCTGCCATCCCAGCAGCATCTGGAGTCTGAATGCTGCCTCTGGCGATTGTGCCACGGGAAGGAAGGGGAAGGTCCTCCAGGCCAACAGAGTATTGCAGCCCGTCAGTTGGTTTATTTATTTAAAACTTTTTAGACTCTCCCTTACCATAGTCTCGGGACAGTTTAACAATAAGAAAAAATAGAACAGCATCCTCATAACAATTTTCCAATCAACGGTAAAACCCCGTTAAAACAATCAAATCTTAAAACATTGGGAAAATTAAAAGGTTTTAGGCAGGTGCTGAAAAGAATAAAGTAATGGTACCAGGTGAACCTCCCTGGGGAGCGAATTCCACAGTCAGGGTGCCACTGCAGAGAAGGCCCTTCTCTGGGTAGTCACCCTCCTGATCTCCTCCAAGGAGGGCTCCCGGAGAAGGGCCTCTGCCCCAGATCTTGAGGGGCGGGTGGGCACATACAGAAGGAGACGCTCGTTCGGGTAACCGGGCCCTAAGCTGCGCAGCTCGTGGTGATGCAGCCCGAGTCTGTGCCTGGTGCTTCCTGGCCCAGTGGGAAGGTGCGGGTCCTGCGTACAGTTTAGCATGGTAGGGAGATGAGCAGGTATGGAAGAGCTGGCAGAGCTGTTGACTCCTCTCTGTGCCGCCTCCTGCAGGGCTCAGCCAGGGTCTCCGTCGCTCGGTAGGGGGCATTGCGACCATCCTTGGGCCCCTGTGGGCTGGAGGCTTGACTACAAACCTTTCCATCATGCTGGGGGTAATGATGGCCCTTCTCAGCCTGCTGATGGTGAGTACCTGCGTCTCCAACGTGGTGCCCGTGACACCCACCGGGCTCCTCTGGATTCCCATTTCCTTAAGTAGTTCGTTAAATGTCTTGTTAACTGACAAGGGGCAGCCAAGGGGCAGCCAAGCCCAGGGCTGCCCCTTAACACAACCTTTATTTGGGTCCAAAAGAAGATTTTTGCATGGTGCTGCTCTGACTGCACTTCTGCTCTGTACTTAGGTTTGGTGGACAAGTTATTTTCCTCCAAGTCTTACCAGTTTATGGGGCAGGAATGGGCGAATGCATATAATGCAGATGTACGAAATCCACTCCTGTCGACGCATGGATGAAGGAAGGAACAGTGTCTGACATCCCTTGAACTGTGTATTTTAGAAAAGCAGAGACATGAAAAATGTGGGTTTTCGGGGAACAACCCCCCTATACCCACTTTAGTCAACTCCAAAAATATGCATCTAAAGGCACATGGAGCACATTTCGGAATGGGAAGAAGAGAGGGCTGAGCTTGGGGATGAGCCTTGAAGACCTTCTGTGAGATTTGGCCTTGCTGATTCTCTTATCCCTTCCTGGGGCATTTTGGGAAACCAAGATGGCAGCTCCCAGTCACTCCCTGCATGCTCTCTACCTTCTCGGGCTGATTGCCCTGCTCCTCTTTCTTTCCCCCTCTTACAGATTATGGTGGGGCTGTCATACACATACCTCACAGAGCCTTCCAGGGGGTACCTGTCTCCTGGTGTGTCCCGCGATGAATGCAGCTCCTGAGAGACCTCTCGATGGAAGGTGCGTTGGAAAAAATGGAAGCGCTCACACTCCCCAGGTGAGAGAGAACGAGAGAACAGCCAGTTCCCCAGGCTGTGGGGTACACATCTCGCTTTGATGCTCCTGTGGCCAATGAAGCTTGGAGAAGCTGGCTAGCAACAGATTGTCCTTGTCTCGTTCTGCTACTGGGGCGCCTTGCCCAGTAATTATTTCTGAGTAGCCTTCTCCAAGCTGGTGCTCGTAAAATGTGTCGGACCACAAATCCCATAATCCCACAGGCCGTTATACTGGATTATGGGAGCAGAGGTCTAACATCTCTGGAGGACATCACATTGGAGAAGACTTCTTAAGTATCTTTTCACACAGATACATATACATGCATCCCTCTGCATTTCAATTTTCCCTGGATTCTGTGCAGGTCAGTGGAGACTGTGAACACCTCATGTGGGGCAGAATGTTGAGGATCCTGTCTCTGTCTGTCTGTCTGTCTGTCTGTCTATCGATTTATATCCTGCCTTTTTCCTACAAAGGGCTCAAGGCAGCTTACATCTCCTCCTCCATCTTATCCCCACAACAACAGCCCTGTGAGGTAGGTTGGGCTAAGAGTCTGTGCCTGGCCCAAAGTCACCCAGTTGGCTCCAAGGCTGAGTGGGGACTCGAACCCAGATCGCCTGAGTCCCAGTCCCATGCTCTTAACCACTACACCACACTGGCTTCTTAGTCATGAACTAATAGCCATGTACTGTTAGCTAATTAAAATGTCCTTAAAATTGCTTGAATGAAGGGGGGTGAATTGCCAGAATAAAGGTGCAGGCGTTCCTTAAGTGCATGGCGGTCCATTTGGAGAGATCTGGGGAGGGCAACCTATGCCCACCCAGATGATTTGAACTATGAGTTGCCCACCCTGAGACGCCTGTAGTTCCGATTTGTTTCAAGCAGAAAGGCATCCCAAAAACTGGGCATGCTGATGCAAGCAGCCCGGAAGGTGTCCTGCTCCGGATTGGGCAAGAGAGATGCTGGCTTGGCTGCAGCCTGGCGTGACCCCGCTTCTTTCCTGTCATTCACATGCAGGTGTCGTGCTGATTGGTGCGGGTCCCCCTGGCTGGTTCCAGTTCTGAGGTGGTTGCTCTCCTGCTGGGGTGAGGAGCATCAAGGGGCACATGCCCACCCAAAAGCAGCGGCCAGCCCAGGGTCCGGCTGGGGTGCCCACATCTCTCCTGCTGGCCAGTTCCTTGCCACCCCAGAGTGGGGTTTCTCCGAGGGGCGAGGAGCCCGGCTTCCTTTCCCACTCTCCACAGCATCTCCCCATGTTTCGCCCTGTGGGGCCCCCTGGCTCTTGTCTATGGACTCTGAAAGGCAGCCGGACTGGGGCTTGTGCAAAGACGCTTCGTGTCTCTGAACCTTGCCCCAGTCTTCTCCCTCCTGATGCCTTCTAGCTGGGTGGACTGCAGTGTCCATGAGCCCCAGGTGTACTGGCTGAGGATGATGAGAGTTGTAGTCTGACCCGTCTGGAGGGTGTCAGGTTGTGGAAGTCTGCTCTTTCACAAGTTTCTTCTGCTTCATCACCGGTTATGTACCTAGTTCTGTGCTCACTTGCAGTAGCTGTTGCTCTCCCATGCAAGCAGCCATGTTTCCTCTGGGCGCATGCGCACGTGCGTGTGCACCATGATAGACATGACTGGGAGGGGGCGGTGGAGGTAATGGCGGTGTGAAAAGTTCTGTGCAGGGCATTTCTGCTTCACTGAGAAGCGTTGTTCCAGAACAACCTTCCGCGTGGCTTGGCCTTACCTCCCAGCTCAGCCAGCATGCACAGGGATTCCACAGCCGCCAGAGGGCCCCAGGCTGGGGGAACTTCTTTAGACCAGTGACCCCTCCTGCAGCCAGGGCTTTCCTGTGCTCTGCTTTCGCTGGCAGCAGGGAAAGGGAAGCGGTGGCGTTCTGCCGCCCTGTCCTTGATGGAAGGGCCGTTCCTTGCCGGCAGCCGGGCACCGTTGATCACAGTCATAGGTGGGACACGATGGTGGAGCCCAAGTTCAGAGTGTTCTGGCTCTGAGCCCAGAGCGCTGGCAGCCTGCAGGGTTACGAAATACTGAACGCCACATAATACACTGTAAAGGCTGCCCCTCCTCTGAAAGCCAGTTCTGCAAATTCTGCTCTCTTGCTGCTAATTTGTTGTTGTGACACCGTCATTCCCAGAGGATGTGGGAACGAAGAGGCGTAGTTTGCAGCTGGTGTGCACAGACATGCTCGCGCCAGTATCAGTTTCTGCACAGTAGCACAGGGTGTGTGTGTGGACACAGGCCATCTCAGCTGTTTCCACTCTGCTGGTGCGTTGTGCTACCTCCCTCCTGCTGCGACTTCTTAAGCCCCCCGTCGCAGAAGTTAACCCCAAACCAGTGGGACCCCAACCAGGCTTGGGGGAGCCCTTGGGCAAGGTGTCCCATGGAAACACTGGCCGTCTCCTCCTCCTGCTCTGGACCACTGGCTAATCTTCTGGTATTGTTGAGGCCAGCTGGCTTCAGAAGGGACCACGGGGCACAAGCACAGACTGTGAATGGGAGGAACTGGGAGGTCTTCTAGGGTGGCTCCTACCAAGCAGCTGTAAAATGGTAGAAACACAGAAACAGAGCGAGTCAGAAGGGGTCTCCCGGGCCATCTAGTCTGACCTCCGGCTCCAGCCGGCTCCACTCACGACATGCCCACCATGTGCACGTCCAGCCCGTCCTTGAACACCCGCACCGATGGGGCCTCAACCACCTCCCGTGGAAGCCCATTCCACGCCCTTGGGGTCCTGACTGTCAGGAAGTGCTTCCTGGCATCCACCTTGAATCTTGGCTCCCTGAGCTTTGCCCCGTTGGAGCGCGTCCTGCCTTCCTCTGAGGGGGAGAACAGGTCTCTACCCAGCTCCGTGTGACACCCCCTCATGTACCTGTATGTCACCAACAGACCCCCTCTGGGTCTCCTCCAGGCTGAAGAGACCCGGTTCCCTCAGTCCCACCTCATACAGCAGCTTTGCAGGGTGGGGGGGTGCTGGAGTGTGTTTCCGTGGCAGAGCTCACTGATGCCCAGAGAACGGCTGAAACATTCTCTTGAAATAGCCCCTCTGCGTGGACCTTTCTCGTGCTGGGGCAGTGACAGGAGCCACATGGCGCTCGACACAAGCACCTTTACACACGGAGATGGTTCCTCGTTGCTACTGTTTATGGCACCTCCGTTGCTGTTGCCATGGAAGGATTAGGCCTTTGCCGATATTTGTCAAAACGGTCTCTCTCCGTGCCCCCATTTCTTTGTGCGCTCCTCTGCTGTAAGTTTTGAGATTGTGCTTTTGGGAGGAGGGAGAGGGTGCTTCTCCAGCAGGGCTTCCTGTATGCAACTATGACCACAATAAATTCAACATCCTGAAGCCGCTTGAGAATCCAGGTTTTTAAGGTGCTGTCCATAGCGCAGGGCTGGTCAGGGGGAGGTGGTAGCGTCCAGGACCACGGAGAGCTCCGTTCAGGTTCCGCCTGAAACCCGGCTGGTTACCCCACCCCACTCACATCGGAAGCTTCGGTCACAGCTGGGCAGCCCTGCCAGAGGGCAGCTGCCTCCTCGGATGGGGTCCACTGAAGGCCGCTTTGCTAAGGGCACAGTCGAATCCAGACTTGGGTCAGCTCAGGATTGCTTGCGTGGGTCGGCCAGCGGCTCTCCAGGGCATCAGGCGGAAATTTTACCCCCTCGCCCCCGTCACATGCACTGCTTTTAAAGGGGGAGTGCTAAGGCCTCGTAACCCAGAGCCGCCTTCACACAAAGAGTGTGCATTGCTGCTCAGTTATCGGCCCCCCCTTGCTCTTCTATGGCCTGCCCCCCCCCCCCGACCCCTGGAAGCTGAGTTGCACCCACAGTGCTCAGTGCCCCCTGCTCAAGCTCCCACATCTGTCCCAGTTGCTAGTATTGGCCTGTGGCCCCTCCAAGGGCTACTCGGTGTAAGGACAGAGGAGAAATAGACTCCCCCTGGCAGGCCCTGCCCCCAGTTCTGGGCGTTTGTTGACTCTTCCATGCAGAGCACATGAATGGGCTGCATGCAGAAGTGGCTCTGACCACCTGGGGACCTGGCTGGATCGAGGATGCTGCTGATGGGCCGCCCGCTAGTGGTCCCTACCCAAGGGAAAGGACAGAGCAACCCTGTCCCAGCAGGGGGAGCTCTTGCACTGCAGAAGACAACCGCGCAAAGGGCTGGCTGAGCTGGCTCCTGCCCCCTGCACACGAGGAAGGATGCGGGGAGTGAGCACCGTGCACTGCAAGGCGCAGCATCCAGAAGCAGCAGCATTTCAGTCCGCCTCGCCCCCTGCAACGGCTGGCAAAATGCGTGAAGTGAGGATCGTGCAAATCCAGTCAAGGAAGCATTGACCCAAACACAGATGACCTGCGCTGTTCCAGCTGGAGGATCTGGCTGCTGAGTAAACTGCTAACTCCTTGGGTGGGTGTCTGTGCACTGCCCCAAAAGAGGAAACTCATTTCCCAAAAAGAGGCTGAAAGGAGACGTGGATCTGCATAATCACGGGAAGGGTTAATTCAAGTGTAGTCGCTAATTTGTAAGACCTGAGTAGAGTTCAAAGAGAAAGGCTGCCTCGCTCTAGTGGGAAATGCTGTGACCCGGTGACCTGATTCTGGGTCTGTCTGCTGTCCAGGTCAGTAAGAGCTGAGGAGCAACTTCGCAGCCCTTGTGAATGTTCTCACCACCTTTGTCGTCTCATTATGAGTCATCAAGTCGCTTCCAACTTACAGTGACCCTGTGAATACCCCCCCCCCCCGAAATGTTCTATCCACACAGCCTGGCTCAGCTCTTGCAAATTCCAGGCTGTTGCTTCCTTCATGGAGTCCGTCCATCTCACATTTGGTCTTCCTTCTCTGCTTCTGCCTTCAGCTTTCCCTCACGTGGAAAGCGGGTGTCTTGCTGTCTCACGATGTGCCCAGAGTGCGATAGGCTCAGGCTGGCCCCTTTTGCTTGCAGGGAAAGCAGTGGCTTGATTTGATCTAGGACCCACCTGTTGCTCTTTCTGTCCATCCAGGGAACTTGCAATGCGCTCCTCCAGCACCATGTTTCAAACGCATCCATTCCCTTCCTGTCGCTCTCCCAAGAGTTTTTAAAACCAGCCCGCCATATATATATATATAAAAAAAAAAAAAAAAAACTACTCTCTTTCACAAAGGATGTCACCTACCCTACAAGAATAGAAAGATCTTCACATGGACCGACTGCCTTGAGTGGACCACATGCCTTCTCCCTCCTGCGACCCAGCTAGGAGTTTGCTGGGACTTCTCACCTGAAGTTGCCCACTTGCGAATCTTCCATAGTTTCCTGGCATTAGAACGTCCTTTATAAATTACGGAAATTGAGCTGATTTCCATGATTTGTGTAACTCTATAATTCATACTGCCTGTTATGAGAAATAGGCAAGGAGTCCCACCAGGAACTGCCCTGCTTCCATGCAGTCTCCCTTCCCCACGATATTCTCACTTGTCCCTCTGGCTTTCTGGGGTCTCAGCAGCCATCGCTAACAAGTTTAGAGACAGAAGGACCATCAACACTCTTTAAAGAAGGGAAATCGTTGCCATTAGGTGCCTGTACCCGTGTGCTCCCCAGAGTGCACCTCCAACTCACAGCATTTATGCCTGTGTGCATATAAATCTCTGTCCTAAAAGGCAGATTCTAAATACCCGAACAAATAAAAGTTTACAAAGTATTTTGCTCATGAAAGAGCACTGTGGGCACGCCATGTGTCTTAAGCTTGAGAGGTCCCCCCCCCCCGCCCTTTGCTATACAGCATAGGAAAAAAATCAGGAAAGTTTGATTAAGCTGAAAAGCTGAGATACCTGTGGTGTCCCATTGAATAAATTCGTTTGTTCTGTTAGGGTGCAGAGCTGGAAATTGTAGGACTTTTTCTGTCTAAATGCATGCCCTTACAAAGTGCATGCTTGTATTACGTTCTCTAGATGTTTTTTTCTCTAAATATAGGTTTAATATAGGTGCAGTTTTTCTGCAGAATCTCCACAACAAAATATGTACAAAGAAGATTAGAACTTAGGTTTCAGAACAAGAAAGCTATTTGTTTTCCCTCCCAGGCACAAAGATAAATAATAAATAAAAATGATGGATACAACCAATATATTTCGCTACTGAAAATGAAGAGGGTGTGAGGTTGCTTCAGATGGCGTCAGGCCAGTGGTGCATCTAGTTCAGAACTGGCCTCATTGAGTGGCTGCAGTGGCTCCATTTCTTTTTATGGAAACCTTTTTGTATCCCCACCACGTTGGGGTCCCCTTAGTGTTTAAACCAAGCCACCGGATTTACAACCCCGTTCCCTTGAACTGGAACCTCAGTGAGGCTCACAGTCTGTGCTAAGAGCATCTCTCTCTTAAGTACGGAGCTAAATCCGCGACGGAGTGAAGGCCTGGGGTTCTGGGGATGCTCGGCTGTTCGGCTCCTTGTAGCCGCGGTGACTGGTTGAGCGCGTGCCCCAGCACCTTCTGCGCTTGGACACCGCTAGGCCCTGGTTTGCCAGGGACAAAATTCCTCAGAGCAAGGGCCAGGCAGCCTGGAGAGCTCGTTCACTGGATGCTCACGTCTGCTCCTCCTGAAAAGCCGGGGAAGCAGGAGCGAGGGAGGGAGGGAGGGAGGATGGCGGCCATTGTCCCGGCCAGCTGTGCAGAGCAGAGGGTCAGGGGTTAAACCCCTGCCAAGCGGCCTCTCGTCTCCCATCCGGAACCTTCCCTCTCCCTGCACGCTACACAGCAACACACACCGTCTTGGCATCCAGCTTGCACGCTTGCTAAATATA